TACATAAATAATAAAAAGAAGTTTTTTTGTTATAAATCTCTTAGTTAAACTTATTAATTAAAAAAAATAAAATAAAATACAATATGATAAATTTTATGATTAATATTTATTTTTTATATTAAAAAATATTTAATGATATAGAGAATTATTAACACTACATTTCTAATCAATATTGCTGCAGCCTATATGACCTTTACAAGTCTTAAATTGACTAAAAAACAAGATTTTAAGCTTAAGGTGCATTTAATAGTCTAAAATTAAATTTAATATTGATCCAAAAATAGAATAAATAAAAATCAAGTTTTTATATTTATAGAAATCAAATAAAAAATTAAATTTAATAATTTTTGATGCAAATACATATTTTGAAAAAATACCTCATAACCTATTTTTTCATTCAATATTTATTGTCTCTTTCTCAACTACGACCATTTCTTAAAGTCAAAATAGAAAAAAATGGGAGAAAGGACGAGACATATTATTAGCTAGTTGTCTACAAGGAGGTCACATAGAATGTAGCAATATAAATTGAGGATGTAGTATTAACAATTTTCATAATATATTATAAAAACTTTACTTCAATTATTTTATTTATTTATTTATTTATCTTAGAATCTAATTATGTATCTCTACTTTTTTATAGTATACAAAAAACATGTTGTTTATGTTCTTTTATATTCTAAAAATTGATAAGAATATTTTCCAAATAACACACAAAATCATTATCTAAAAAATTAAAAATATATTTTTTTTCAAATTTTGGAAAGTAATTAATGCATTTATAAATCTATAAAGTATAATATTAAATTTAAAATGGGCCATACTTAGATTAAAATATAGTCTTTTTTTCATTTTCTTCTTTCATATACATTAAATTATTAGTTCTTTATAAAAAAAATTTAATATAGATCTTAACTTCATTAAAATAATCTAGGAGCTTGAACATGAAAGATGGAGGATAAAAATTCTTAGTAGTCAATTTGTTGAGTTTGCAATAATTCAAAGATATTTGCAAGAATCTATTTTTTTCTTCAAAAACAAAATTGGTGCACTTATAAGAGATTTTATATATATATATATATATATATATATATTCAAGATTTTTATCAATATACTCCTTCAAAAGAACAACTTCATTTTGCTATAAGTTGTAAATTGGTCCAAAAAGTAGTTGGGTTACTTTGTAAAAGTCAATTGCACACTAGTAAGGTTGATGTCTGTTTTTGTAATATATCAATATTTTTCTTTTTAAATATATCTTTAAAATATTTAAATTACTTTGAAATTCTATTGCAATCTTTATTCAAATGGATAATTGCTATTGTATAAATAAAAAATAGATTTTCTTCTTTTACAAATCTTATAAATGCTCTAACTTCCACAAATAAAGGTTTGAATTTTCTAGACATAAGATTAATTTTTTATTATTTATTTTTTTGGATAAGACAAGAAGAAATTCAAGACTACAAGATTTCCAATCTATTTAAGAATAGTATTTTTTTCAACTACACTAAGCTTAAATTTATAAAATCGGTTGAAGATTTTATAATAATAAATACCACTAGACTTTTATAATCTTTTACAATTACTTTTAGTAGTTTTGTAGATGACTTCTCTTAAAGATAATAGTTGTCCATATATGACTTCTAAATATACATATATAATTTTTTGTAGCAATAATATTTTATAAAATTTAACAAGATTTTTATAAAAAAAAAAAAACAAAAAAAACAAAATAAAACAAAGGCATTGGATTTAACCATGAACAAGTATAAACAATAGGTTTTTAGTTCCTAAACCAACTTCTACTAAAACAACAAGCAAAGGATTCCAAAAATAATACAATATCTTTATAAGATAATGTAGTACAAGAATCCAACTACACATTCTTTAATGTTGTTGGACAATTTTATTTTTAATGTAATATCTTGTTTTAGAATTAACTCCTAGTCTTATAATTTTGCTGCTTCTTAGGACATTATTAAGCAACAAGTTTTGATTCTTTATAATTAGATAAGTTTCTTCTTATGGATATTGAATTGTCTTTTGTATTATAGAGATTTGAGATGTATAGCATCAATTTTCATATCTTCTACATTTGATTATTACTTTCATTGGTTAAAGTATTTGTAACAAAAGTATAGAAGAATTGAAGTTAATATACAACTTTTTTATTATGATTCAAAAAATATGTTATTGTATTTGATAACAAAGATAATGATTTGACTCAAAGTTTGAAGATCAAAGAAGTTGAGAAATAATTTCTTAATATCATGTTATAACTTAAAGAAAAATTGACTCAAAGTTTGAAAATCAAAGAAGTTGAGAAATAATTTCTTAATATCATGTTATAACTTAAAGAAAAATTGACTCATAAATTTAATCCCATCTCATTTAACATCAATTATTAATTGTCAAAATTAAGATATATATATATATATATATATATATATATATATATATATAGATAAAAATTAATTTTTTTGTTAGAAAATTTAAATTTCTTTAGCTGATATACAATTTGCTTCATATTTATTAAATTTATAGATCAAAATTTTACCAAAAATGTATCTAAGTTTTCCAATATAAAATTATATTGGTTTAAAAATAATAAGAAGTAAGAAAGATCATGTTTTTTTAGTAAAATTTTAATAAATTTGACTTACGATGTATAGGTTGGATAACTAAGAAGTTGGAATTGAATAGAAATTTATACATAGTTGATGAATTCTTAAAACTTGGATCTAATATCATAAATTTTTTTAAAAAAGAAAATTTTATACTTTATAAATATCAAATATTATATTGATCAAAAAGATATTTTTTCAACAAAATCATCTAAGTTAGAAATATATAATTTTTAAAAAATAAAGACAAAAATTTCAAAAAATATTTATTATTTTTAATTTGAAATTTGAACTCCTTCTTATCAAGCCTTTGGTTAAAACTTTGATACTTTGGATAAAATTTAATCAAACTTTGTTGTAATTTGGTCAAGACTTAGTAATCAACTCCAAAAACCTCTAGATAGGATTAGCTTATATTAATGCCAATCTTCTATGTAAGTTAATGCTAATGATTTCTATCAAAATAAATAATTTAAAGAAGCAACTTTCATTCAAATATTTTTTGTAATAACTATAATTATATTAAAACCTAAAAATATATATTTAAATTATAATAAAAAATATATGAAAAATAATATGGTGAGTAAAACTTACATAAAAGGCCTAGATAAGATATTTTTTTTAATAGGATATAAAAATTACAAAAAAAGAAAAAAGATCCCATTTAATCCAAATTTCTTGTATATTTATACTATTCTTATTTAATTACAGTAGATAGCCATCTCTGCTTAAGTATCTACATAAAAATTTTGTGATAATTTTAATTAAGAAAGATGTCAAAATCTTAAGTGGATCAAATATTTTAGGTCTATTTTATGTTCTATAACTTGAATCTTAATCTAATAAGTAAGTTTAATTCTTAGATAGATTAAATATTTCCAACATGTCTTGGACTTATTGATATACACTCTTCTCATTTTTTAGATCCTATTGGTTGGATTTATTACATAATTTTTTAAATCCTATTTGATTGAACAAACTCCTTTCATCTCTATATCTTTATGATAAAAATCATACTTGATGCTAATAAAGGTGGTAAATAAAGCAAATACATAACATGCATTAAATCTCTTATTTGTCCTTACATATTTACTAAATAATTCTTCTTCTCTTTTAAATTTTTCATATTTACAAAGACTTAATAGTTTCTACACAAACAAAAAAAAAAAGAAAAAAAAAGAAAAAAAATAGAAGTGATATTGAAAACAATTATATAAATATAGATGAGAGATTAATCCAAAATCTTTAAAATTTTATGATACTTTCAAAAAATAAAAATAAAAATAATCCACTTTTCATTAAGAAATATTAAACTTTGATATTAAGAGTGTTAGTCTTGTCAAACTATCAAAGACATAGATGTAGACAAAATTCTAAAGATATTATATTTATGTATCAATAAATAGTGATTTTTTTAAAAAAAATATAAATAAGATATAAAATAATTATAATGGCTATTGCTAAATACATGGTAGAGATTCTTGAACTAAGACTAAAATACAAGAAAGGCATCAACAAATCCATAAGTAGTCTCATTTTAAAAATCAAATAAACTAGCTACTAAGAAGAGTTTTTAGAATCATCCTAAGAATTACAAGGCTTCTGGCACAAGTGTCAAGTTCTAAGTCACTTCCATTGCTGCCTTCTGAAAGTAAAAAAATTATAGAATAAGTTTCAATAGCTATGTGGTATATTTATAGGAATATGAAGATCTATTCCATGTCTATAAAACTCATTGAAAATTTCTTAAGAAAGATATTATTTATCTAACATACTCTAATTTCTTCTATTTATTTAAGTAGTATAGATATCTATTACACTTAAAGAATAGAAATTTTATTAACTATACATTAGTTTAATTAATTTTACTAATACCCAAATAAAGAAACCAATAGACAAGATGAAAACGTGGACTCGGCCCATCAAAAACGGATGATATTCATCCAAAGTGGGTATACCGCCACTGCCGAGAATGCGCAGCGGCGCCAAAACGGTGTCCTCCTCGGAGCCTTCGAAGCAGTTGCGCTGCAGCTTCGATGGATCGCCGGGATCGAGGACACAGATTCACACACACACGAATAGACAGATAAAGAGACAGATAGATAAATAAACAGATGGAGCGATGGAGTGATGGATCTCAGGCTGGGAGCGAATCCGAGGGCGAACATCCCCGAACATATTCCTGCTTCTTTCCTAGTTTCGATTCTGCTGTGGTGTCTACCATAGCCTCTACCGCCGCCGGTATTCCCCCCCTAAGCCCCTACGCACAGTGCGAGCAATCGTGTGCGTTGCTTTACTTCGCTAGCCATTTTACCACACTCACTGGCCTTCGTTTGCGAAGAAACGAGGACGTCGGTAGATGGGCAGGTGAGGCGTTTCATGTGTTTTTTCTGGATCTAGATCTGGCACTCTCTGTGCTGCCGAGCTGCCGAGCTTGTAACTCAAAACATCACGTGGGGTCGTTGTTTTTTGTAGTAGTAGATTAGAGGTAGGAATAGATTCGGTGGAGTGATTTGCTTGATGGATTGAGTTGGGTTGTGGTGACAGTGAGATGTGAGCTTTGGGACTCTGAGTTTGTTCATGGGTGAGGGGCCTTTTGGGTTTTGGTTCAGTTGTAGGGGATTTGTTGGGAGAGGAGTGAGAGAATACGTCTTGCTCCGCATATAATCGATTTGGTAGATGGACAATGTGGATGCCTTTGGGCCTACGCTTTAGTTGAGGGGTGTACATCTTGAGGAGTGCCATGGTTTCTGGTTTGGCAACGTGCGTTGCAATCCTATTGCGAGGTGGTCTGCACATGTATACGCCTGAACGTCATGTCTATGATTTGATTTCGCTTACTATCTTCGTGGTAGTGTAACAAGGATGTAATGGACTTGAATGGCTTTCTTTTAACAGGCAGGCTATCGCGTGCTGATTTGGTATGCAGTAGCTTCGGCGGTTTGGAAATGAAGATTGAAGATTGATCCCGTGCTTGGTTTTTTCAGAAGAGGGATGGAGTCATGGTAGAGAGGAAATCAGTGTATGAAGGAAGCGAGATCGAAGGCGTAATTTTATTCCTCTACTAGATTATTCATTTATTTCCTTCTTAGGTTCAAATTTATGACCAATTAGACACATATTTTGTTGTCACCGATATCCTCATGCCTGGTGTGATTATCATCACCTTTGTTGCAAAGAAGGTCCACTTACACAGCAAGTCCCAGGAAGGCAAATGTAGCATGTGAATGTGGAAGAAGAGACAACAGTAGTCCGGAAGAAGCAGCTTGTTGCCTTCTTCAAAGACTTGCGTTGTCCGCCATAATCGTTTTGTGCTGCGGTGCCGATCGGTTTCTGCAACAGTCTAAGTGATCCGCACGTTGATGAGGCATCGAAGCAGGAGTTAGTTATGAAGGATTTTCAAAAGGTGACGACCAGCGACAACAAAGATCTCGAGGTGAATGAGTTTTCCAATGCTCTCCGAAATGCAATTTTCTTTCACTTTTGGCTGAGCTTGTAAGTAACTGGAAAGTCTTTCTTGAGCTTCTACCCGTAAATCCGGTCTATGTGAGACATGTCTGTTTCTGAGAGTTGCGCTTTAGTGTTGAATGCACAAGTAGTACGGGAACGATCCTTGATGTCTAGAGGTTTTTCATGCTAATTAGCGTACCGATCTGGCTTGATTTGTTTAGGTGTTAATAACGAGGTACAATTTTTCAGACTTTATTGACAACTGAGGATATTTAGTTAGCGTATTTAATAGAATGGTGGAAGAGAGGCAGGTGTCTAGCAAGTGCAAATTTGGATCCAGAAGTGGCTCATGTTCCCCGTGCAATTTTTTTTATGTCCTTGCAGCTTATGGCTCTAAGGGAAGGAGTTCCACAACATTCGGACTCAATATTATACAAAAGTAATAACTGTACAAATGAGCTTGTGCGTCCCCCTATGCAATCCTGCTGCATCACGACATTCAGTCTAGGAAGCTGGATCTGCAAATTTCCAGCACATTTATGTGGACGTATGTGTCCTGTTTTGTTCGGAACTAAGCTGAACTGTCTGCTACTCTGTGTCCCCTTCGCGGTAATTGGTGTCTCATTCGGAATACTCGGACATGTAAGCCCATTGAACGCCCTTGCTTGCACTAAACATTGTTTCGATGTCTTTGTTTTCTCCTCTGCCACGAAGTTATGAAAAGCCTTCCCATTCGTTTTTTTTTTTTTTTTTTTTTTTTTTTTCTTTCTTACTTTCCTCAGGCTTTGGATAGTTCTATCTTTATCAGATATTGAAGAGGCGGCATTATCGAATTGTTTCGAGCATTACAAAGCTGCAGCACTAGTGGTATTGAGTTTTCCAAGCAGTGATTGATTTTCTAAAGTTGTGATAGATCTTGTTGTTTTGCAGAGCTGGGTTTTTCTGCTGAGTTTACTAGGAATGATGCCCTTGGCTGAGCGACTAGGTTTCGTCACCGAGTGAGTAACTCCTGACTCACATCGCCTACTTTCCCTTTACTTCCGAAGCTCCGAACAGACCACAACATCAATAGTTTGTGGTTGGACATAGTAGTGGATACTGGAGCCATCATTCAATTATACGCTACTAGATATATCTGCATGCCAGGAGCGTTTTACGGAGCTCTAATAAATATTTTGATTTTAGGAACAAAGCATGGAACTATTAAGGAGAGGTTGGAGAAGAAAATGACGTAGTCATTTGACGAACCTTAATGAAAACTTTTCTGGCGTTTGCAGGCAACTGTCTTGTTGTACTGGTGCAACAGGTGATTGCCGAAGTTCGAATGTTGCTGCCTTATGAAGCATATTGGTTTGCATTTCTTGCAATCTGTGCTGCAGAATAGGGGCAAGTGTGTTTGGCTGATTCAATTCTCTGACGAAGAAACTGATCTTTGCTATTTGCAGTTGGAGGTCTCCTGAATGCGACCTTTGGAAATGCAACTGAAGTGATTATTTGTGTCATGGCTCTCCGGAAGAACATGATACGAGTTGTACAATTATCACTTCTAGGTTCCATACTGTCCAACATGCTGCTTGTTTTAGGGTGCGCTTTTTTCTTTGGAGGCCTGAAGCATCCCCAAACGGATCAGAAGTTCAACAAGGTGAGCCTCAAGCGTGCTGATTCTTGTTCTTAGTGATCATAAGTGCCCAGTGATTTCTCGGAAGTGGTCCAATCGGAATGATTCTTAAAAAAACTGTGGTTCTCGTTTATTACAGGTTACGGCTCAGGTTAGCGCCAGTTTGTTATTAATGGCTGTCATGGGTCTTCTGTTTCCTGTTGTACTTCATGCTACTGGTACCGAGCTTCAAATGGGGAAGTCTGAGCTGGTTTTATCTAGATTTAGCAGCATTGTCATGCTCGTGGCCTACATAGCCTATTTATATTTCCAACTTAAGAGCCACAAAGAGCTTTATGACTCAGAGGAGGTAAGAGTTGTTTTACCTTTTAAACTGTATTCAGAGTTGTCTCTTCATCGACTTTTAGAGGTTTATTCATTTGTTTATTTGTTTATATTTTTTTGTTTTAAAGCTTCAATTTGTTTATTTATTTAGGATTGTGGCGGGAACGATGCTGTTTCTGACGACGATGAGGCTGTGCTGGATTTCTGGACTTCAATTGCCTGGCTCACTGTTTTGACCATCTTTATTTCTATATTGTCAGAATATCTTGTTGATGCCATCGAGGTATATGACGGCCTGATTTCGTCCCTGAACTTCAAACTTTCATTCGTGTGCTACAGCTCTAAACTCTCTTGTGGTCGTGTGATTCAATATGCTTTGAGAAATGGGAACTTGGATTTAGGGGCTACCAAGAGGTTCGCCTGGACAATTTCTGTTCACGTAATGCTGGTATGTTCCTTGTGTTTGTTGTCTGGTGTACAGGGTACTTCAAGCTCTTGGAACGTACCCATTGCATTTATAAGTGTAATCTTATTGCCGATTGTTGGGAATGCAGCAGAGCATGCAAGCGCCGTTATGTTTGCTCTCAAAGATAAGCTGGTATATCCTCTCTCGAACACACGAATGTCATTTTGCTGTAACATTTAAGTGGCATAATTGGAATTGTGATCAGACGACTGGCAGCTATTACCATGGCTTGATTCCTTCCACGTCTATAAACCATCACTTTACTGTGTACTTCTTTCATTTTAATATCTCCAAGCGCTTAAGCCATGATGTATATCCTACTTATAGCACACTTGCTTTTTCGCTCTTCGGCAGGATATTTCGCTTGGAGTGGCCATCGGTTCTTCCACTCAGATCTCCATGTTCGTGGTGTGTTTCAATAAGCCTTTCATCTCCTGACTGGTCCTTACAGAAAGTGTGTCCATCTTCAATCCTTTCAATGTCTAGCATGGCAATTAACACGGCACATTGCTGTTGTGCAGATTCCTTTTTGTGTTGTCATTGGATGGCCCATGGGGACCCACATGGACCTGAATTTTGAACTGTTTGAGACGGCAACTCTATTCATAACAGTTCTGGTGGTTGCCTTGATGCTTCAAGTGAGAAATCAATCATCCAGTCTCTGTCTCTGTTAACCAACTAATAAATCCGATATTCTTAGGTTTCCTTGTGTGCTCACTCGTGATTGTTCTGTCTCTAATTTTCCATAACTCCGAATGTACCAGGAGGGCACATCAAATTACTTCAAGGGCTTGATGTTGATTCTTTGCTACTTGATTGTTGGAGCCAGCTTCTTTGTTCACGTTGACACTCCAGACGAGCATTGTGCGTAGCTTCTTCAACCTCCACCTTTCCTCAAAATTTCTAGTCTCTGGTTTCAGGTATAATATACAGAGTGCAATAATTGTAACACCTGGTTCTCTTCATGTGCAGCTGGAACTTGAAGATTTCGAAATACTACGGTCGAAGTTGCTGTTATTCAATGGCCATGTTGTCTAGAATGACACCGCTCCTCCAGCACGGCTCCTACACAAGCAGAGGAGCTAGCCATTTTTGCGGCCTTTGTATTATATGGTCTCAGTGCACCAAGTGTCCGCTGAAACTAGTTCTCTTAATGTCCAGTTCATAAACAATTGTTTTTCAGTTTTCAAGCCCCATGTGTCTACTCGTCTGGGACGATCAAATAGCTGTCCCACATGGTGTCTGTCCTGACACTACTTTCTGCTAGCATTCTGCTTTAGAGAAATGGAGTTACTTGTTGTTGAAGCAGAGCAATGTGGATTGTATTGCACTACCATTATGAAGAGCTGAGATTTCCAGCCACCGTGCTCAGCCAAAATTGAAGCTGGTATCGAGAAATGAAAACAAGATGTGAGATTGTAGATCTCACGTTTCCCAATTTCCCTTTCCCTTCAATTTTGAAAACTTTCCTGCATCGTCTAAGCTGAGAGATTTTGAGGCTATTGAATATACACCTAAAACACAAATGCAGAGTTGTATCTCATCACTCTTTCAGATGGCGAAATCCTCCATAATTGTAACGATTTCTGAAGTGTATTTGCGAAGATATGATATAATCAGCTCATTCACGTTGTTCATGCTTATTGCTTCACTGTCAATTATAGCCTGATTAATTGATAGGGAATTTCTGAGCACGAGTAACCAACTCTTGATGTCTACTAAATTTCAACTCCAAAGGTCTCAGTGATGAAAACTCATCAGTAACGTCAGGAGCACAGTGATCGCAACTTGCAGCTTTGTCTTTGAAGCAGATCTAATGCGTCAATTCATATTTACTTAAAATTAGTAGTCAAATTATTTGTATCTTTTACTGTGCCATGAAAAGCAAACTGAACCGTCACACGATGTTTCCGCTGAGTTGGTGCCTCCCACACTTCGCAGCTGCCGGCGAGTTTCATCCACCGCCGAGCTCTAGTAAGTAAAATGTAAGCAGGCCGCTTCTCTGCATTGAAGAAACTGCAGGTAGTTGTTCTATTGTCATTGTTGCGAGTACAACTTTTAGCCATGGCTGCGGATGACAGCGATGCGCAGCTCTCCGCGAAGATTGCCCACGTCTCGCACATCGTATTTGACCTGGATGGCACTCTGCTTGATACAGGTTTGCGGATTTCATGAGTGCGGCTTTCAATCTGTGGCTGGACGATTAATTTTGTGAATTGCACCAGCTCGTGTTTCCTGAATTTCTGGTATTGTCCTAGAAATTTGAGTTCCCGGATCTCCTAATTGAGAAATTCTTAACGTACGGCAGCCTGTACGCATGTGCAATTCCACATTCTCATGTCCTTGATTTGTCACAAGGATGTGATTCTCGGTGGAATTTACATGGGACGTAATAATTCAAGACAGCTAAGTTTAGAGTGTTTCTTGTGGTTATGCCTTCTTGTTCGAGTTGGGTTTGCGCGTATTCCCCTGATTGCTTCGCCGAGCTATGGCGATCCAAGAATAGGGTACCCTGAAGTTCTACTATGTTGCATGAGGAGAATTTTTTGTCGATTTGTAGGGAGAATTAATAAGCGAAAAATGTTTTAGTACCTTTGCGAATGTCCAAGCTAAATTGCTTCCTTGTTTGCAATCGATCTGTTGTGGGTGAAGAGTCGATTGCGGATGAGGTTCTGGCGATAGTACTCACACGCCATGGGAAGGTTTGGGATGGAAGAGGCGCTCAAAATCGAATGGGTAAACGGCCTCTAGAGGCAGCTGCTGCTGTGATTCAGGATTATGGTCTGGCTTGTACTCCTCTCGAGTTAAACCTAGAAGTTCTAGAATTGCTTCAAGAGAGGTTCGATTTAGCCCATCCCTGTTTTTTGCCCCAATTATATTTGATGGAAGTTTTGCAACCGTCTTCTGCAATCATCTTGAGGCTGGAAAGAGAGTAATGCAGCTTTTAGGGTTCAGAATTAATGCAATTCTGTGATGCTCGTTTTTGTTGATCATTAGATGGAAAAATGCGAGGACTTTGCCAGGAGCCGTTCGATTAATAAAGCATTTTTACAGCCATGGCATCCCTATGGCCATTGCTTCTAGCTCTCCTGCAAGAAACATCAAAATCAAGCTGTGTCATCAAGAAGGTATACTTCTGGTCTTTAATGTTTGAGATACATTTGATTGACGATTACTTTGAAGGGTGGGTAAATGAGGATTAAATTCTACCTACAGGTTGGACGGAGTATTTCCCAGTGGTGGTTGCGGGGGATATGGTCGAGAATGGAAAACCTGCTCCTGATATGTGAGGGCTTGACAGTACTTTTTTTGAATTTTTTGTTCCTTGAATCCTGTTTCTAGCAGTAGTCTGACGCTTATCATTCTCGTTATCGCCTACGGATGTATCTAGTGATTCTATCTTCTTAATTCGTTGTTTACATGGCCAAGTTTGAGATATTTGATTAACAAGAGTCCAAGATATGCTCAAAACTCCGTGATGATGCTGTTCGCAAGATCTGATGCTTTACAGATTTCTAGAAGCCGCAAGCCGACTAAACGTGGAGCCAATCAAGTGCCTCGTGATTGAGGATGCTCCGTAAGCTCCATTTTCCTTCGCCGATGCTCAAGCTAAGATCTGGTTCTGAACATCAGTATTATATAAATTCCAATTTTTCTTTCTGTTTATTTTCCTTTATTTGATCATATAGATTCTTTCGACGAAGCTTGCCCTAGACCTTTGTTGATAGCCGAAACTCGCTGTGAACATAGGCTCTAAAGTGGTGCTAATTTCAAGTGGGTACTCAGGGCTGGTGTATTGGCAGCTAAGGCTGCAGGAATGCAAGTGGTGGCAGTTCCTTCAATCCCATCCAAGGATGCCCGTCCACAATACTCTTCAGCTGACGTAATATATTCTTCTCTGTTGGATTTTCAGCCTGAAGTCTGGGGCTTCCCCTCTCTAAATGATCGTAACTCCCTCAACTTCAACAAACTAGCAGATTTGTGTCTTTTAATCTGTTGCAAGCAAATTCCAGTTCTTGTTTATTTATTCATTTATTTATTTTTTCGTTAAGCAATCAAGGCAACTGTTGCAGGAATTGGTGGCGCTATACCTATAGAGCCATGGTACATGGGTGGGCCAGTTATTAAGGGCTTTGGTCGTGGCTCAAAATTGCTTGGGACTCCCACTGGTATTGTCTACAATTCTAATGTTTTAGTTTTGTCCGCTGGTTACACGATGGCCACCAGTATGACAGTCGTGAGTGTCTTGTGTATGTTTTGCATTAGGTTGAGGATTGAAGGAGTTATAAGATTCTAAATATTATTTGAGAAATTCATAGTGCAGGCATGAATCCCTGCTAACAATGTTGAATATGAGATCTTAAAATTTTACGTCCATTAATTGCATTATGTACAGCTAATCTACCAACTAGTGCCTTTTCAAACCACTTGGCAAGTCACGTCTGCGGGATCTACATTGGCTGGGCTGGCTTGGCCAATAGGGGTGTCTACAAGATGGTGATGAGCGTTGGATGGAACCCCTACTTCGACAACAAAGAGAAGGCAGTGGTGAGTTTTTATGTGTATTTGACACACTGTCGTGATATATGTGCACGTAGCCGTAGAGATCATTCATACTATCGACCAATTTGATAAACTCTCCCCATGCTGTTTTATTTGTAACATATAGGAGCCATGGATACTTCATGACTTCTCAGAGGACTTCTATGGAGAGGAGCTCCGGCTCATTGTTGTGGGGTATGTCCGCCCAGAGGTACTCATCCTACTCAACCATAATCCTTTTGAGTCTTTCATTTCCATTCACTTTCAGATTTAGATTATTCTGTAATTTAGGATATATTGAGGATTTTTTAGAATTTTAACTACGAATTTGGATGGGTGTTGATCTTGAGGTAAAGTTGTTTTGACTGCCTTCTACTTTTCTGTTTATTTTATCTTCCTCTTATTTATTTATTTGTTTGTTTTCAGGCAAATTTTACCACGCTGGAAGATTTGGTGGAGAGGATTCACGAAGATGGAAGAGTTGCCAAGGCAGCGCTGGATATGAATCCATTTTCAGATTATGCTGAAGATAGCTATCTTACTACCCCACTTCCTGTAAGCATGTCCTCGAATTAAGTCTACAGCAGACTTCGGAATCCGAAGTCTTGTTATCGAGATGGGAGGGGAGGCTCTCATTCAGACACAGAAAAAATCCTGAAGTATGTTGTAGGAAATATTTTCTTCGCTGAGATTTTTTTTAGAAATCTTCAGCTTATTTTGGTATAGCAAGAGGGAAGTTCTATGTTATGTATGATTGGTATACTATCCCAACTTCGTTTTTTTGAATTAGGATAATCTCCTCTGCAATGGCGATGTATCTTCTATTACCCTGGATAATGTTTTCCCATGGTATTCTTTGAGGAATTTTAGATTTAGCTCAAATTATGTGTTTATGGTGGAATCCTTGCGTTTGTCTTTCGATTTATGATTGTTCTTTGTTTTTTTATTAAGTAGAGTTTTGTAAAAAATTAAAAAACACAAACTATTAGTTTATAAAGTTTTTGAATGATATCAACTGATAAAAAATAAATAAAATAACTTAAGAAATATTAGTGTACTATTTACAAAAAAAAATATTTCTTTTTAAGTAACTTAATAATAAGTCCATATTCACAATGCACATATTATAAAATGGTAATTGTAAATAATACTTGCAAAGATTTTTTTAATGTCTATAATTTATTTTATTGTTGGCATATAGGAATGGTGATCTTGTGTAAATGTCTATAGAGCATGGTTAAGATTTTCCTGCTAAGTTTTGATCTATTACTCTTTATAATGCTACTAGACAATTTTTTGGTGCAACTTGATATCTTTTGGTAGTTAAAGATCATTTTAGACTAATTTTTATAAAAGATTGGAAAGAAAGAAAAAATAAATAAAAAATAAATAAAAAAATTGTAAAATGTTATGTGCGATTTTTCTACAACAAATTGAATGAAAAAAAAAATGATAAAAATGAGATAAATAAATAAATAAATAAATATATATATATAAAAATTGTAAAAAAAACTAAAATCATTTCTAATTTAAAGACTACTGTATAATTTCAAAAATACATATAAATACAATTTCCCCCAATCTTCCAAAAGAACCATTATTTGTTGTAGATCTTTGTTTTTATATCTTAGGATCAAATATTGACCTTGTCTTACAAGTGGTCATTTTTTTCATATCAATTCTACAGTTTGTATAATAAATTTTTGAAAGAATCTATCATTAATTTTAGCCAAGAGGTAATAACATTGATTTTTTTATTATTATTTTATTGTTAATCTATTCTACCTTATTTTGATTTATCCACATATTTGAATCCGCTGTGCAATGATGAAAGTCCCTAATACATGATGAATTGAAGCAACAACAAATTAAAATAAAAAAATTCTCAACATAGAGATTAAATTTTAATTATAATAAGACAAAATAATTTGCTTCGCAGAGTCACTAACACAAAGGATCAATTATTAAGTGCTTCTAAGCAAAACATTGAATCTAATTTTCATCCAACAAATTTTTCCTTTTAACATTCTTAATACAAAAGGAAGCATAGATGATAAAATTTGTAGCAAAGCTTGATTTATTAACCATTAAAATCTTTAAAAAAATCTATTAAACTTGTACTCAATTTTTTTTTTCTTACTGTGTGTCTTCACTAACCTTTTGAACAAGTAGGTATGTTACAACAGAACACTGCAATCTAAAAAGGTTAAAAACATTCTAGAAATATGGGCAAGTCCTCCTGATTCAAGAAAAATGTTGAAAAAAATTACATGCAATGAAATTGGTAAAAAGCTTAATAATGGAAAAACATTGCCTTGCAATTGGAATAAAACATGGATGACTAGGAACTTGATAGAAACTAGAAAAAATAAAACAATAAGTTGGAACTCAAAAATTCCACAAACTTGTTTGATTGTTTACACACACAAAAAAAAAAACAAAACAAAACAAAACAAAAAAAAAAAAAAGTACAAAATATATTTAGATCATTAGAAAATCTATATGTATACAAGTCCAATGCAGCTTAACAAACCCTAATAACCCGGTATAAAGGCTATAAATACCTTGTAACCATTTTTCTTAAACTCATTAATGCATCAAATGAAACCCACTTAAAATAACAGAAATATACAAACAAAAAAATAACACACATATATATCACTAAGAGGCATCAATGCTTAAACAAGATGATCACAAAAACGTGATATAAATGCATGTGTGAATATATATATATATATATATATATATCTATATATATAAACAAATTTAGTTGGTTACAAATCAGTTCCAAATCCAGACCTCTATTGGTTCTTGTGCCTCAAACCCTACAAATCATGTCATCCAACTATCTCGAAGCTTACGTATAGCACAATCTATACACACCCCAATTTGCGAAGTAGACAATCTGCTCGCGGCAAGCGTGTGACCAGATTGTGATTTTGAGCGAGCGAGCGTCAGTGTGTGTGTGTCTGTTTGTTGTAGCAACAGTGACTGACGCACAATCGATTTCAAGGGGTTTTCTCGTTGTTGTTGTTGATGTTGTCGTCGTCGTCTTTCCATGTGGCTTGCCACTGCTTGTCGTAGAAGGTTGATTCCTTGACGATGGTGCGAATGTTGGCGACATCGCTGTCCTTTCGGATGAGCAGGACCCCGAGGATGGTGAAGAAGATGAGGAGCTTGCCCAAGAAGCTGCTCTGCTGATCCACGAGGCCATACCCCGTGGCGGAGTCCACGAGGTAGCCGGCTGCGTAGCCCACCATGGCAGCCCGACCTGCAATCGGACGAAAGAAGGAAAAGTGTGAGTGGGTTAAGAGTTAGTGAGAGAATTGTTTTCGCGTGACGTGCGTGGGAGTGGGACTCTGTTCGTGAGCTGTGTTAGGGCTTAAAATGTTCCTGATTTACATCTGAATGAGATCGGCAAGAGAATTGTTCATGGTGAGGTGGAGAGTAGTAGCTTACCGTTTAGGAGCTCAGCCTCGGGAAGATGGAAGCGCTTCACCCAAGCCCACCATGGGACAGTCGCCGTGTCGAAAACAACGGGCTCAGCGTTGTTGGAAGTCTCTGGGTTCTCTTCCAGCCACTTCCTCCTCACCACCTCTGCCACATGTTGGTTTTCCTGAACTCAGAACTTCCTCGCATAGTACAAGCAGTACAACAAATACTCACAAGATTGACGCTTGTACAGATGACCACCGACGTTTCGAAGACTGCACCATAATTTGGATACAGATTGGGCAATACCAGCATCAATGACAGCGTCCCAGTCGATCTTGCCATTGCGTGTGAACTTTGTGATATCCCAGGTTCCAGCTGACCACCTTGGATCTTCGAATTTGCCTGATCCATTTGATGCTGGTGTAGCGTTCTTCCCCAAAGTTGCTGCAGCTGGTGCCTTGCCTGCAGCTTCATCTCCGTCCAATGTACCTCCCTTCTGCAATGGCGGAGGTTCTCTAACTGCAGCAGGCGGATCTCTAGTCTCCTCGCTCTTGGAGTCAATTGGCGATGTAGGTGTCCCCCCGACCAACGTCTCTGACTCTTTGGAAGTAGCGTCTCCATTTTGCGATGCCGAAGGTTCCCTAACCTCGGTGGGCGAATCGTTAGTCTCTTCAGTCTTGGATCCGGTTGACGATGTGGGCGTGCCCCCGACCAATGTATCTGACTCCTTGGAAGCAGCGTCTTCATTCTGCAATGGCAAAGGCGTCGTTTTCTCGGTGGCCAAACTCCCAGCCCCTTCCGACGCCTCAGTTTCGGTGATTGCATTAGTGGGCATCTGACTATCCACGCCATTTCCTCCCGTCTCCTCGGAAGCTCTCACAACAAATCTCACACGCCCATCACTCTCACCATTGTCAAACCCACTCAATCTCGATTGCCCTCTCCACGAGCAAACGCTAACTTGTTTGCAATTTCCTACCTGCGGCCTAACCGACAACGCACCTCTGTTCACTACAGGAATTGCCCCTGCAAGAGGCCCGCTGATGGTAGCCATGACTGCCATAGCTGCAACGTCGACTTTCACAACGGAGCAACAAACACGACCGTAAAATTGCAACTATGGGAAGCCACGCGCACGGTAAGAAATCCTAGTTGCGAGTTGAGCAGCAGCGCAGGGACTGGATAAGAGGGCTACCCATGCTTTGAATGTGGACTATCCAAGTGGACGGCGTTGTGACACAACATCAGGACACTTGTATGACCTCTCGTTGCATGTGTCGTCTACGAAACCAACAACACTAGGGCAATGGTGGTACATGCGGGGCCTTGTGCAGCGCTGATCATCGTTGTAATGCTCCCGTCTAAATCCGATTTCTGCATGATCGCTCAGCACAGGCTAGAATTCTCTCTCGCAGCTGCGAATTGCCTCGATCCTGTGATTCGCAATGAAAGCTACCGCGACGTCAGGCGTTTAGTTCCTGGAAAACATCTACAATTGGCACTCGCGCCGTCGATCCAATCTACGCAGCGGTGGGGATACCCAAAGGGCGACCTTTCGCTGTTCCCGTGTTTTTGTGCTGTGCTGAATGCTTCCAATCGCAGTGCTTGCGAATCTATGGCAATCAATGCAGTGAGGCTTCGGTCGCTCCACCCACAACTTTCGCAGATAGTAAAGAAAACATTACATTGTTATATCTTGAAATATTAAAAAATAAAATAAATTCATAGTTACTTTGTTATATAATATATTATATCATAGACATCATTTAAAATTGGTTTTTTTGTTATAATTAAATAAGTTAAATCCAATTTCAAACATGCAATGCCTATCATTTTTTTTCCAAATATAATGTAATTTGTCTAATTGCATAGAATTGAACTCAATCTATTAATTATTACAAAACTTGAACCACACTTCCAAACAAAACACAAATGCAAAGTATGCGTCTAAAGAGGATGTATTTAGTAATAACAAACAAGGTTTACATTGGACTTTGCAAGCATGCCAATACAAATCCTACTCTAATGATAGGTCATATTATCACTTGGATTTATGACACATACAATATAAATGTGAATCAGACAACCATTTCCAAAACAATTTCCCATTTGATTACATTTCTTGGAACTATTCACCAAGCATATCCACAAAACAAATGGCAAAAGAAAATTGAGTATTCCAACATGAAGAAGTCATTAGAAGCATGATTTTATACTAACCAAGAAAGTGCAACCATCAACAATGACATGCTAAAAGAAAATGATGTCATTTTCAATTTCCTTTACTTTCAACACAATGGATGTTTTTTTTCAATGGATACTTAGAGGCATTTAAGACTTGTTAGGGAATATGTTTTTTGTGCAAATTTAAAGAAAGTAGGTTAGTGGATATGATTATTATCATTGACTTTCTTCCTTTTATTTGTGAAACACTAGATAGATTTGAGTGCCAATATATCTACAACATGGATGAAATTAGACTTTTCTATTGCATGTAAGTGAGGTGGAATGCTTGGTGGAAGCTTGCCATTTTACAATAATTGTACATGACATAATTCTTATTTGTTATTTGTCAATTTCATATGCAAACAACTTGAAGGTAGAAAGCATAACAAAGTTCATCTTATACTCATTGTGTGCTACAATAGAAACAACATTGACAAACTTTACCTAAAAGTCATTAACAAGTTTCTTAATCCACAATGTTTCAAGGACATCAATCTTACAGAACCAGTTCTTTCTATAGAAATAACAATAAGGCTTGGATAACAAAGGCAATTTTTACAAAGTGGCACAAGACATTTGATTGGTACATGGCAAATCACAAGATTATTTCAATTTTGGATAATTGCAACACTTACATTCCACTAACAAAAATTCCCAATTATGGTCAATTAGAAAATACATTGGTTTTTTTGAATCCTTCCAAAAACAACTTCAAAAATTAATTTAAGATATTTTTTGAAAAAAAAACATCTAAAAGTACAAATTACTTTTTACCAAGAATGTAAGAATAAAGAACTAAGAAATAAAGTACATTAAAGAGATATAAAATTAGAAATTAGATTACCAAAAACATAATAGTTAAGTTGTTTCAAAACTTGTATTAACTGGACTAAAGAATTTTTTGTCTTCTCTTTATTTTAAACTAGCAAAAATCCATGATAATAGGCACATAAAAATTGTTTACAAATGGATAACTGGAGGTCTTTTTGCAAGCTATTCAAGACTATTTATTAGTTTACAACTTCTTTGATTTTGGCCAACATTAAGACTTCTTTGTCTCTTCGTCTCACACTTAAACTTCCTTATTATATAGATATAACAACTATGTCAAACAGATACTTTTAGAAAGACACTCTAAAAGTAGTTTAATTTCTAACAAATACTAAGAAATTTATAAGAATTTCAAATGACTAAAAAAAAACTATGAAAAATTCTGAAAGTATATAGTAGAATGTAAAAAGTTGTGAAATTTTTTAGAAGTATTTAATAAAGAGTACAAATGTTTTACAGTTGATCAAAAAAGAAAGAAGATATATATATATATATATATATAGAATAAAATAATTAATCAATGCAAAAAAAAAAAAAAAAAAAAAAAACTCTAATCTCCATGATACTCTAATTTCTTTTAATTTTATAAATAAACATACCTTTCACCAATAAACAGAAATTCAACTTGTTGTCAATTGATAAAAATCCAACATTCTAAAGTCGTTGATCTCAATTGCAATGATATGCAGATTTCAAAGGTTTCCCATGAAATTACACCATCTCTACGATAAGCATCATTCATCTTTCCTCCCACTACGGTAAACATAATCAGAAACCCAACAAACACAACCTCTCGCTCTCTTCAGACTATCTTAAAAAAAACATTATTTGCGGAAGCACCCACAATACAACAATTGCACCGAACAAAAGCCAGCAAAAGAACAAAACAATCACCACTGAAGTTAAAAATAAAAAAAAAAAAAATGGAAATTGAAAGACAACAAACCCAAACTCTTATTGTCGTTATCTGACCTGTTCGAGATTGTTTAGATTAATGACGGAATGAGATGATACAAACATGCTAAACGTATGGAACACTTGTGCTAAGAAATTAGAGGCTGTTGGGCTTGTCGGCATCGTCGGCGTTCTTCCAAGTCGCCTGCCATTGCTTGTCGTAGTATGTGGATTCCTTCACCAGGTTCCGGATAGTGGCGACGTCGTTGTTCTTCCTGATGGCCAACACTCCCACCACAGAGATGAAGAGCAGCAGCTTGCCAAAGAAGCTGTTCTGCTGATCTACCAAGCCCACTCCCGTTGCGGCGTCCACCAGCCAGCCGGCCGCGTACCCGATCATGGCCGCCCGACCTGGTCATTCAAACCCACTCTGCCATTAGCTAAATGACGTGATGGGACGTGTCTCAACCCGCTCGATATTCAAAAATTAGCGGCGGCAAAAGAAGCATCGAGGGCTCACCGTTCAAAAGCTCCGCCTCTGGAAGGTGGAATCGCTTCACCCACGCCCACCATGGCACAATCGATGTATCGAACACGACCTCGTCGTCGTTGCGTGATGACTCGGGGTTCGCTTCCAGCAACTTCCTTCGGACCACCTCTGTGACAGACGTAGTCAAGGGAAAACGTCAGGACACAAGGCAAGTGAATTATACGAACTCAACTTGGAAATATTCGAAGCGGTTATAGATATGCTCGGGGTTTGAGTGGGGTTGAACCGAGGCTATTGTAGCGCTTCCTCGTGAACTCAGTCCGGTAACTGAGCAAGTGCTTGGAAATAGCATCAACGGTTGAGGCTATGCAGCTTTTGTAGAGAAGTGTTCGAGGAAATTATAGAACAAGAATTTATGATTAGAATATTACGAATTATTCAAACTAGCCCCAAATATAAGGTTGGCCCACACAAGCGATTTCAAATTTTCTAAACGGTCTATGGATACGTCGAACTCAATGCACATTGCCCTAGTTGTTCCCGGTCGATTACACACAACGTCGTACACAAATTCCTGGGCCGGAGTCCTCTCAACCAGCTAGTGAAAAAGGATCCATTGAGGCGCTCTAGACAGAAGCAGAAGTTATAATCGCGAAATTGAACCCAAATAAAAAAAAATAAAAAAAATAAAACACACACACACACATACCGGCGTCAATAACAGCGTCCCAGTCGGTCTTGCCATCTGCACTGGCGAACATGGAAATGTCCCAAGTACCGTTCTTCCACCGGGGATCATCAAACTTCCCGGAAGAGGTCGCCAAGGGCGACGCCTTCCCAAGGGTCGCAGCCGCGGGGGCTTTACCAGCCGCCTCCTTGCCGTCGAGAGTTCCACCCTTCTGCAAAGGAGAAGGTTTCCTACTCGCGGGGGTACTACTACTACTACTACTCACGGTGCTGCTAATTCCCTCCGTCTCGGCCTCCTCAGGTAGAGCCGCGACTTCTTGAACAACGCTGTTGCCCGCGGCGTCAGCGGCACTTCCAAAGTCCTCGGTCTTCGAAGCTTTCACCACAAACCTCACGGCCTGGGTGGAGACCCTCCCACCCGGCACGCGCAATGACAGAGAAGGTTTCCCACTAAGGGAGGCGCGGGAAGTGGGTGGGGACGGTGCCACAGCTAAGCCAGGCAAGGGCTTGACGAGAGAAGCCATGGTCGCCATTGCTGGAAGCCAAATTGCGACGAGGCGGAGAGGCAACACGACGAGCACAGCAGCAGCAGGAGCAGCAGCAAGTCCTGCTGCGAGATGCCAATGCTGCTCTCTCTTCCCCTTGAGAGCATCGAATGCTTGGATAAGAGCCCCGTGACCCCGTTCACACTACCAGACAAATCCCCCCCCCCCCCCTCCTTTCCTTCCTTGGGTCATATTTTTATGATGCCGTGCTTAGTGAGGCTTATTAATTGCCACTCCTGTGAACATTGTTCCTTCGCTTACGAGAATGGTACTTGGAGCAAGTTGGCCTGGATGGCGTGTGTATTGTGTACCGTGGGAAACAACCCACGTGAGATTATATTTTACAGTTTCACTTTCTTGTGAATTGTTTTACTTCTCATTGTGTGGATGTAAGTGTGCGTCAATTTTGTTTTTTAAAATTTTGTTGTGAAGAAATAGAGATTGGTGTTTTGTTCTTCAATGTCTTTGTTACGTCATTCAAGTGTCTTCTTGACTTCTCAATTTTTTAGAACGATTAAATGAATGGGTTCTGAATATCAATGATTGAAGTCCCAGTGATTTATTTATAGACATTTTTTTTACTGAATCTTTTTCTTTTTCTTTTTATAATAAAAATTGTATAATTTTCTCAATTCGACAAGAATTCCAATTTAGTATTAAAATAAATTTTGGAATGTAATTCAAAATCACTGTTATTTCACTGTTCACCAAAGTAAAAAGTTTGATATTCACCACACAAAAATGGTTATGTCTAGAATTCGCATTTTATTAGAATGAGTACTATCCTCAATCTAGTTGGATGGGTAAATTCACTGCAGCTTCTTCGATCTGGCGTTGTCGACGTTTTGGCTCACTGTCCTCAGATCCATCGATTGGGTCTTCTCGAGGTCGCGCCCAATCGTGTGATTTGTTTCACAAGCTACGACCTGAAGAATGTCGGCGCAATCTGCACCGAGAATCCGGCGCTCTCCAATCTTTGGGTGGGTTTTGTTACAGGGTGTAATGTGGCTTCCGTGGCTGCGCGACCACAAGGAACTGATACAACTGATGACGAAGTTATGTGCAAGTTTACTCGTCGATTTCTTGCAGTGTGATGTAGACGTCCCGAACCATTGTGCCCCTCTTCACGGTAACCTGAGGAAGTAACATGTGTCCGAAAGTAAGTGAATGAAATGTCCATTGAAGGTTGCTCATGATGCACGGCGATGCAGCACATGGTAAAGCGCGAAGAATTGGTGTGTGTTGAAAGCTAGCTAGGGGAAAGAAGGTGGGTAGTAGTGTGGAATTGAGAACAATCACCAGTCTTACCCGTAGTCTGTCTCCGATTTGGCGCTCATCGCAAGCGGCTACTAAATCATCTACGCGACTTAGGGTCTGCAGATTGCGAACACACAGCAATCAGATGCTATACGCAACTATCTACATGGAATTCATGATTCTGACCCATCAATTGGAATCTGAAAGAAAGAAAATCCACCACTGAGAAGTAAATGTGACTCACTTGGCCATTGATAGCGACAATAATGTCCCCAAGTTCGATTCTGCCGAAAAGATCTCGCTTCGTGGCTGCACAGCCACAGCCCAATAGGCGTTACCACTGCACTGGGAAATTGCTTAACAAGAAGTCATAATCATTGAGAGACTACGGCTTTAAGCCGAATTCGCATTGGAAAAGGTTACTCACGTAAGAGGCCGGCCTTCGCAGCGGCACCGTTCTCACTTAATCCAAAAACCAACACGCCATTAACTCCAAGTTGCTTGGCTTGGCTGTCACTCGCACACATGATGCCTAAGCCTGGTCTCGAAACTTTTCCTTTCCTTATCAGCTCATTGACCACCCTGCGCACCGTGTCGACAGGAATCGCAAATCCGATTCCGGCACTCGCACCAGATGGGGAGTATATGGCAGTATTCACTCCGATCAATCGCCCTTGACTATCCAGAAGAGGGCCTCCAGAGTTTCCAGGATTGATGGACGCGTCGGTTTGAACAACACCTCGAATCATGGCGCCTCCTATTGACCGAATGTCTCGCCCAACTCCAGAGATGATGCCACTCGTCAAAGTCCTGTCCAAACCAAATGGGTTCCCGATTGCTAATACGTGTTGCCCTACTTGCAAGGCCTGTGATGATCCGACAACAATGGGCCTCAACCTGGAGGCAGGGGCAGCAATTTTCAGCACCGCAAGATCCTTGTTCTTCGCAACTCCCACAACCGTGCCCTCCCAAGTGCTTGCATCCGAAAGAGTGATCTTCGCTTTATTCCCGTTCATAACGACGTGGTAATTGGTGACGACATGCCCCTCGGCGTCCCACACAAATGCACTTCCTGTACCTCTCGGTATTTCGACAGGATTCATGGACATGCCAATAGTTGCAGTGGTTGATGTTGAGATGTTCGCCACTGAGGGACTGCACTCTTGAAACACCTTCACAGTGTTGCGCTCTGCTTCTAGCCACCAACCTTTTCACCAAGTACAGAAACCCCAAATTCGCATCACATAATTGTTCTCGCTCTGCTACAGCCCCTGACTGCTCAAAAGCTCATGCGGTCCCTCCCTTTGCTGCAGGCAACGCCACTCTAAACCTAAGCATGAAACCGTAGAATTCAAGAATCCAGAGAAAAACTGAGCAAACTACAGATTGGTACCTTCCACAAGATTCGGGACTTCCTGTAATAAGGATGCGGAGAGCTCTTCATCGTCTTCCCCGCAGAGGATCCGTTGCAAAAGCTGTTGAGCAGCAGGAGTTATGAAATTCTTGGTATCCTTCAACCGCTCAACCAACTCGTTCCTTTCAAGGCAGTCACGATAATCAACTTTTCCGGCGTCTAAAACCTGCACAGGCGACAAAGTGAATTCCAATGATAAAAAATTACCGAGATGCCACATCATTCTAAGTGGAACCCGAACATAATTGCACGCGCCAAACATGCCCAATTCAAGTCGGATACAGAAGCGCATAAACTTGTACCTTCTTGATCTGGCTAGCTTTGAGACTCTCCAAGCCCTGCGTCTCGCGCATCGACTCCTCTCCAGTGTACGCAACAGCGCGTCCATGCGACCTCCGAATTGATCCCTCAAAATTCGTTCCCCGTTTCAGCTCAGGCGCAACGCGTTTGACATTACCGAGCTGCGTACCACGAAATTGACTGAACAACCTCACTCTCGCAAGAGACTGCACCATATTCCCCGACACAGGAACAACAAGACTAGCCATCCTCAACGCATCCCCGTTCTGCCGCAGACCTCCGCCACCAAGCGGCACCGCAAGCGAAATCCTCGACAACGTTGCCATTGCTCGAATTCGAATCATTCGGAGCTGCAAAACCTCAATTCACAATCCCCTCAGTCGACTGGTTCTGGGTGGGCCGGATTCCTTCCAGTGGTGGCGCCAGTGTACCCCGAGAGGCGTGAAATAGCCCTCTCAGACATCGGTGGGATAGAGAGGTGGAGACGAAAGTTCCCGTGCAAGATCTAGGGAGTCCATGGAAAACCACCGCCATAGCCTGCAAATCCAAGCTCACCTCGGCGACGCAGCACCACCCTCGTTTGCTTGCTTGCATGCCTGCTTGGGGCCCAAGGGGTCGCGACGCCTTTCGCTCCGACAGACATCGTGGATGACTTTCGTTATAGTCTGTTCATCCATGTCAAATGGTGAAGCATGGTGGTAATTTGATTATGATTTGGGATTCAATGATTGTTTTTTTTAGGCTTAGTTTTTTTCACAAAATAGAAAGAAGCATGTACCAATATTACTATAAGCACATTTTGGAAGAATGTATGTATTATATCATACAAATATATAATTTAGATCCTCACAATTTGATGTTTTAAGATGACAATGTTCTAAGTCATTTAGCCAAATCTATATAAGAGTGATTCAAGTTGCAACCTTTACAATTTCATAAGTAGTTAGGTCAAAGACCAGATTTAAAAACAATTGAATACTTATAAGTGCTTCTAAAATGCCAAGTAAATTATCTTATTAGGGTTTTAACAAGAATGCTTCAATTATATGAACAAGTAGTCAAAGTATTATATGCAATAATTCTTAAGGAGTCCTAGAACTTTTATAAAAACATTCTTAAGACTATTGCATGAATATTAAAAGGAAAAGCATATTGGACCAAGTTTTGAAGTTAATTTTTTTGTTATATTCAAAATTAGATTTTTAGTTTTGTTTTTATTCATTGTTTATGTATTTTTTTTTATATTATTATTTCTTCTTTAATACTTTGTAAGAATGTACAGAACTCTATGTAATGTCATTTCTTCCATTTAGTTTTTAGTTATAATCTCATAATTTCCAAGTACTGTGTTTTATATTTGATTATATAGGGTCTATACTTAGTTTTGTGAGTCATAGTAAAAACACTAATGTTTACTTTATTTTTTAAGAAAAATTCATAGACATCAATATGCTATATAAATATTTCATTGTATGTGTTATTGTTGTTGCTCTTTTTATTATTATTATTTTAACTTATTTATATAAATATGTTTAAAATTTGAAAAAAAATAATAAATTATACTAAATTTTTTATAAATTATATTAGAATAGACTATACATATCATATCCTAAAACATTTATTAAAAAGATATTTTCTACTAATTAATGTAATATAAGTTTTTTTATAAATTTATAAAATATTTTAGCTTATTAATGATAGTATAACACTTGCCTCTTATAATAATAGTAGATTATTTGAATATCATCTTATATTAAAAGTATAAGAAGTTAAAATCATACCTTAAAAATAATATTAGTATGATATTTTTCTTATTATTGATTAACACTTCAAGAAAAGTTTTTGAACTATTAGAAATGATTCAAGAATTGTTAAAAACAATGCAAAATAGAATAGTTGTACTATCATAAGTAATTAGGACTAAGTTAGAATGATATCATTCAATAGTTTCACAATTGTACAAATGTTTTCTTTGATTCAAATAAAAAAAAAAAAAAAAAGCTTTGAGATAAAAAAAAATGTTGTATTTTTTAAATATATTACTTTATAAGGAAGTTAGAAAGTTAATTAAATGTTCATTCAATGGATGTGTTATACACATACAATTAGTTATAAGTTGCAACTGCAATTGTTTTTAATGTATTTTCAGTACAACTTATTATGGAGTGGCATAATTAAAACTACTAGTATTTTTGCAACTTAAAATATTATTATAAATTTTTAATATGAATTTTGAAACTTTTGCATGTTTTATTATTTTTCAAGGTAAATATTTTGTAGTAAAATTTCTAAATTTAATCATATTAACAATCACATATAACCAAACAAAAATCTTTTTTTTCTTTTTTTATAAATATATAATTATATATGGATATAGATATAGATATAAAATAATAAAATGATAATATTAGATAAAATAATTTCGATATATAGACTTAAATAATGCTTACAAGCTTGGCTGATAAAGATCCAAAAATAATATACAATAAAAAAGTTAAGATGTTGTGTAAAATATAAAAGAAATAAAAAAAATTAAATATATATATATACATAAATATATATAAATGTGTATTTGTGTGTGTTTGTGTGTGTATATATATATATATATATATATATATATATTATTACTAATTGATTAGTTAAAATAGTCTATAATCATGTGTTAGAGTTTAAGAACATTGTTATTTTTTCTAATTTGTTTTGTTTTGTTTTGTTTATTTTTGTTTTTTTTTGTTTTTTTCATATAAGATAAAATGACTCAAAAAAAATGTCTCCATGTTTTTAAATTTGACTTTTTTTTACCTTTTCTTAAAATATAAAAATATATACATACTTAGTCCAATAAATAAAGTTGTTGTATATAATTTAAAAATATTTGTTGATAAAGAATTCTCTATAAATACATATAGTATTCAATGAATTAATTTTTTGACTCCTTGCTTGTTATTCATTGCAAAGGCCATTGTGATCTCCATTGTTACTTATTATTGCACCACTTTATTTATTGTTACACTTCTTTTATTTCTTTAAATTTATTAGATATTGATGCATTCTTTTGTCTATAAATATATGTATATATATTGGTCTAATTATTGTATTGCACTCACTTAGACTATCTCATTTTCACTATGTAGGTTGCTATTATACCATTACTATCAAGCATGTTTGGACTTTGTTCATTGACATAAGCATTTGATTATTGAAGACAAGTGGAAAGTAATGTAGTCTAATGAGACCAAGGTAAATCAAATGGTGTTAAATGTGGAATTTTGGTGTTAGAAGTTCATATATATATATATATATAAAATAAAAATTAAAAAGTATAATCCTACTTACTAAACAATTGTCAAGTATGATGGTGGTTTGTTGAGATCTATAGTTGCATGATTGCTTAAAGCATAGATTACTTTATTATATGTAAAAAGTCAAAGGAAAGTGAGAAGGAATCAATTAAGAAGTCATTGTTAACCTTATAGATAGTATGCCACATTGTGTAGAGGCATTTATGAAGGCATCAGAAGGGCCAACAATCTATTAACTAACTAGTAAAAAAAATTGTCTCAATGTTCTTTATTTTCATATTATCTCATTGTACTTTAGTGGTACAACCAATTGTTATTATTCTTGCACTAGACATAAAAATAATCGCATTTATTTTACTTTTCAAGCAATTAACCCTTTGGAGTTGTAATGAGAAGGAAGGGAGAATTACAACAAAATAAGATATGGAATAAATAAAAACATTGAAATATTTTTTTAAATCATTGAATACAGAAATATATATATATATATATATATATATAATAGCAGTATTTGTCTATATATATGCATAATTCTAAAATATCATCCATATATTTATAAGATCATTCATCATTTTTTTCTAAATTATACTAGTTTAATATACCCCTTCAATATATTACTATAATATATCACTTTATTTATGTTGGTTTCTATCAAAATATTAATTTCCTTAAGGATGATGGAAAATGCTTCATCCTACTACCATGCATTCTAAAATTATTAATTTACCAATATCAATGGATTCTATTACTTATCTAATATAGGAAGAAAAATCAACTCTATTGTTATTGTTTTATTTTTTAGATGTTAATGCTAAAAAAAATAAATTAAACTCAAGGCTTTCCTATCATGAATTTAAAGTGCCTCTATTATCTCGTAGATTTTAAGGCAATGCACAAGTAAGTAAAAATTCTCTATTTTACCTTGCATAAAAAATTACTCATTGCCATCTCTTCCAATTTTAAAAATAGTCCATATGCTTTAATAAATAATATATTTGTTATTGTTATTATTATTATTATTATTATTATCATTTTCTATTCATTTATTTTAAATTCAAATTTCTAATTCTTTATTAATATTTGAAAGAATAAAGAATAAAAAATAATATAATTAGTTAAAACTTAAATAAATAATTTTAAAAATTTATCTTTTTTATAAATTGATCTACTAATATTGTTACATATTTTATTTTTAAAAATTAACATATATTATAATTTTATTAGCATTTAAAAAAATAAAAAATGCTAATAATATACTAATAATATTATAGTATTATGTTATAAATAAAACACATAATATAATGATATGGTAATTTTACATCATGATGATTGCTAATACATAATTAATATATATATATATATATATATATACACACACACACACACACACATATATATATATATATATACTTACATACATACATATCAGCATTAGAGTTCTTTATTTTTTTTTAGAAATTACATCTTATAATTAATTATTAAGGTGTAATACAAAAGAACACAATCTGGATAGACATATGGATGAATATGTATATGTCTGGATGAAAAAATACACACATACATACACCTTTGTACCAAATGCTATAAACTTAATCCTCTACTTTTAGTTTCTTCTGCAAAAGAAATGATCCCAATAGCAAAAAATGAAGATTATTTAGGATGGTACTTAAATTGTTGCTAGTATACAAGTCTTGAATTTGATATTTGTTGGATTAAAAATTAGATTCAATGTTATTGCTTAGAAGCACCTTTTTAATAATTGATCCTTTGTGTTAGTGACTCTATGCAAAGCCAATCATTTTAACTTACTATAATTAAAATTAAATCTCTTTGTTGAAATTTATTTCTAATTTATATTGTTGTTGCTTCAATCCATCATGCATTAGGGACTTTCATGCATTATACAGCTGATTCAAATATGTGGATGAATATGAATAATAATTTGAATAAATAGATAAACAAAACACAAATGTTGAAACATCACAAAGAAACCATCACAAAGTATCCATAGATCTTGTCTGTAAATAAACACTAATGTCTTTAACACATAGAATGTATTCTCTTTTCTTACAACATTTTTTTAATTGAAATAAGAAGTGTGTTTTTGTTCATTCATCTAAGCATCTATCCAAATTGTATTACTTTTTAATATATCTCAATGATTTGCTTTATAATGTCACCCTCAAAACAAAGGAACTAATACCAATATGTATATATATATATATATATATATATACATAAAGGAGAATATTAAATAGACCCAAAGTTTTATGAAATCAACCCAAGCTTGATGAAGAATATGGTAATCATGATGAATGTGGTTGGTTTTGATTGATTACATATCCAATAGTAGAAAAACTTGGATCTGTTTAACATTGTGTGTATAGAGCTGCACAAAAGCACATTAACCTTCAACTAAGGAGAAGGAACAAAGTGGATACTATGGCAACATGAAGCAAGAGTAAGACCTCAGAGAGTGTTTCAACATCCACCCACACATCTTATTTGCAAGTCCAGTCCAGTCTCATGACTTCATTCACATTCACAATCCATCCATTCATTCATTCATTTCTGGGTTGTGCAACCATCCATCGCACCCTCGCAACCCACTGGCATCGCATCGCAACGAAATGCACACAACGGATCGGAATCCGATACAACATGATCGATGGAAGACAACCTCAGAATCAGCAGCACCCCACATGGATTTCACCATGCAGTGCACAGCAGAGTCATGGAGCTGCTTTAGTCACGCAGCAATCGACATTCCTCAAGCTCTGAACAACTCCTGGTGGATTCCGGTTGCGTGAGTGCGATCCCACAACGTGGGTGGTCGCGGTAACCTCCTCGCCAGCAGCAGCAACAACACACACAACCTCACCGCCGCTGCAGCCTTCCGACGCCGCTGCCGCTCCTCCACGCACAGCGATGCCGACGCCAGCCCTGCCAGCTTTGGCTCTGAGTCTCCTCCTCCTCCTCGTCGCCAGAGCCACACTCGTTGCCGCTGCCGCGCCGGACGATATTGTAACCTCATACTCCTCTCCGTGCACTCCCTTGTCCTGCAACTGTGTGTGTCTCGACCGAGTCTGTCGTCGATGCATCGTGATCGCTCATATTCATTCCCTAGGGGTGGCTTTACTGCTCCGGAGTCAGGCTTCGACTGCAAGGACCGGCGCTTTCTGCAGCCGTAACCGTATCTATGTTTTCAACTGCGCTTGATCTGATCCCGAGTCTGGATGTGGATCTTAGGGTTCCGCTTTCAATGCAAGTTATGTAGAGTGTTAGTAGAGAATGTGGAGGCTCACGTGGATTTGCAGGCGTCGTGGACATCCCATTCTCCCAGACTCAACACCATCTTCACGTCGTAGTTTGGTCCCTCGGCACTGCCAGTCCACCTGAACCTCTGACTTGTTGGATCGTGTCTACGGTTTCGCAAACCCTCCGCCAGTTTTGGCTACCCACTGTGTCTGCATGAGTGTTTTATTTTACCTATTTTTGTTTTGTTTACTGCAAACAGGATGAGTTGGGAGGAAATATTCTCTCAGCTAATGGGCGGAAAGTCGCTCTCCAGCTTCACAGATCCAGCAAATCTCATCACAAAATGTTCATTTCGTGTTGCTCAAACTGATTGTTTGTGAAATTGTGGACCAGATTTGTAATGTGTTGGTTTGTTTTTTATAAGGTTTGAAAGAGAAGAGCCTCTTGGTTGAGGATTAGGGTGGAGTGAGACGCATTGTTTGCATCTGAATAATGAAATATTTGGAGATGAATATGAATGTAAATGGTTTGTTTTTCATGAAAGAGATAGAAGATAGTTCGGATTGTTAAATGCTGGTTTTATTTGATACCTCTGCAAATTTGTTTTTTATTTTGTTCCTTGTGTGTGTATTTCTAGACATTCTATGAGAATTTTGAGTCAAGTTGGAAAGGGCGTTGGATTGTTACAAAAAACCAAGAGTACAAAGGTATGTCAAATCTTTCAGTTTTTTTTTTTGTGCATACATAATGGTAATAATCAAAGTATGTATGTGTATCTATATATATATATATATATATATATTTATCAATAGAAAATGAAAATATAAATATTTTTAGATTTTTCAATACACAAATCTCACATTCCTTCATTATTGTACATAGTTGTAATATTTACATAAAAAAATTGAAAATATTTTAATTGTTAAAAAATCTTATCTATCATACTTTTGGATGAATATGTCTGTGTGCATATATATATATATATATATATATATTTTCATTTCTTAAGTGTATAATTCCATGGGTCAAAATCTAAATAATGATTGAATGATGTTTTAATGGGTAGTGCAGTGATTTATTAATATTCATAAATAAATTTTGTTGGAATATATTTATCTGTAGGTAAATGGAAGCATGAAAAAAGTCAAGGTCATAATGACTATGGATTGTTGGTTAGTCAAAAGGCCAAAAAATATGCTATAATGTATAATCTACCAAAGGTGGTGGATCCTAATGAAGGAACTTTGACCTTACAATATGATGTTCGGTTTCAAAATGGCATCACTTGTGGAGGTGCATATTTGAAATTTCTTGTGCCAGAGGTAAGAGTTTCAGTTTTATGAGACACATTTACAAATACCATTTGCAAATATCAAAAACCATTTTAAAATCATAACAATTTTTTTATATGATTATTATTGTTATTATTATTATTCTTACATTAGTTATGTAATTGATTCTAAGTCTAAAACTTTATTGTTTGTACATAGTATAGGAAAACAAAAGAAATGAGATGAATAGTGAAACTCCATACTCAATTATGTTTGGTGCGGACAAGTGTGGATCAACTAATAAGGTTCATTTTATATTCCACCATAAAAATCCCGTTACTAGAGAGTACATAGAACACCACATGGTAAATCCGGCTTTGGTTGAAGTTGATAGATTTACACATGTGTACACGGCAACAATATATCCAAATAATACCATCATGGTTTTTGTGGATGGAGTGCTTGCAAAAAGATGCAATTCCATGGGAAGTGATTTTGAGCCACTGCTCATTCCTCCCGCTTTTATAGATGACCCAAATGATGAAAAGCCTCCCACATGGGATGACCGTAAGAAAATCCCCAATCCAAGTGCTTCAAAGCCTAAAGATTGGAATGAAGATGAACCAAGTCAAATTGTTGATACTGCAGCTGTAAAACCTGAGGTGACATTTTTAATTCCCATATAGATTGCCTTTTAATTTGTTCATTTTTGTGTTGTTATTTTTTCAAAGTTTTAAGAGAGATGACATGAAAAAAAATGTGTAGAGATGACTTACTTATGAACTATTCACTTACTTAAAATGAAAAGTGAAATGAGTATGAAGTAACACTCAATTTGGTTATAATCTTAGTACACATGCATTGCAATTTTATATTTCCTTCTATAATATTGTATATATATATATATATATATATATATGTGTGTGTGTGTGTGCGTGTGTGTGTATGTATGTAGGTATAATTTAATATGATTTCAAATTTGATTACATAGGGATGGTTAGAGGATGAACCGGAAGAAATAGATGATCCCACATCCAAAAAACCCACCACATGGGACAACCAAAAAGATGGAGAGTGGGAACAAGAAAAAATGGACAATCCAAGATGTAAGGACGTTGTTGGATGTGGTCCTTGGCAACCTCCGATGATAAACAATCCCGCATATAAAGGAAAATGGAGCCCTCCTTTGATTGATAATCCAAACTATTATGGCATATGGAAGCCAAAACAAATTCCCAACCCATCTCATTTTGAAGCTACAAGACCCCAATTTGAAAAAATAGGCAAAATTGGAATAGAGATTTGGACAATGGACGATGGTATTATTTTTGACAACATTCTTATCACAAATAATGAAACTTTTGCCCAACAATTAAGAACACAAACCTGGAGTGAAAAAATCAAAGTTGAGAAACAATCAGAGCCTATTGAAGATTCAACACTCTCTTGGAAAAACACTTTGAAAAGTTTACTTTTAATTAAGGTATTTCTTGGGTTTCTTGGATTATATGTGTGTGTGTAAATATAGATATATATATATATATATATAATAAGTTACTCATATAAATACATGAAGAGACTATTAAATTAGTGTAATTTTCACATCCTGTTGTGCATGTTTTTCACTGCAGCTATCATTTATTTTGGATCTTTTTGGTGATGAGAATTAACTAAGCGATTACATATAACGATTGATATCTTTGATTGATAATAAATTTATAAGAATAATTATAATTTCTTTAAATAGAAAGTGATTTGCTTGTGTGAATTTTTTAAAATGTAGGTTGTAATCAAAAGAATTGAGGACATCCGTCTCTCCAAATCTGGAATTTTCGGAACAATATTTGTACTTTTTGTTTCAGTTTGTGGTTACGTGTTTGGAAAAAGAAATTCTTCAAAATTAACTGTGAGTTTATTATTTTATTTTTATTATTTCTCAAAAACAGTAAATGTTTAGTATGCTTTATTTCAAACAGTTTGGTTGGAGGGATTTGATTGTAGTTCAATGAGACTATAATAATCATAATTCATGTTCTTTTATTTAATATGTTTGATTTATTTCAACCTAATGGTAATTTATTTATACCCTGGTGTAGGAAAAGAAATTATTACATGAAAATAAAATAAGAGTAAAATATGATAAGCGTAAAAATCAAGCATTATTAAATGATGTATCCCAAAATCCCCCTAAAGATGAAGCCCACAAGTTGGAAAATTTTCAAGAAATTGAGACAGAGGAGCATAAAAATTTAAAACTACAAGAGAAACAAGGAAAAAAATCTCTTTGATATACTTCAAAAAAATCATAAAGTCATTCATTTTAAAATATTCTACAGCAAGAGGTTGTAATAGACATGGAGTATCATAATTTCAACATAACTGTTTTTGTTCAATTTTACATATGAAAGCCTTAGAGAACAACATTAACATGACAATAGATTCATCTCATCAATGAATTAAAATTGTAAATGTTTAGAATAAACACAATATTGGAGCTTTCTCTTCTAATATTTATAACTAATTGATTATCTATTTTCAATACAGAAGTAAAATGAAAGTGTTTCAAACTATTTTTTGAATTTATTTATTTAGCCTGTGATTTATTACGCACTAGATTTAAATATAGTTTTTTAGCATGAATCTTGAAGTTGCAATTTCAAATAAAATTTAAAATATGCACTCTTTTGTTTTTATGATTTTGAGACAATCATACAGAAAAGGTAAAATAAGAAAATATAAAAATAAAAATATATTATTGAGTCAAAATTTTATTTCTTTCACATATTGCTAACTGACAAAATACATAAAATTCAAACACAGTTAATGAGTATATTATATTATTATTATTATTATTATTATAATCATCAACCCTAACTAGTCTCTCTCTCTTTATTTCTATATATACATATATAGATTTATAATAGTGGTGTTTGCCTATGTACATCCATCTAACACACTATCAATATTTTCATGCATTTATTTATTAAAGAGTTCATTCAAAAAAAAAAAAATCAAGAATTGTTCACCCAATTCTTACTTCATTTAAGTTTCTCAATAAATGAAAAAAAAAATAAGACAAAAGCCCAGCATGTAAGTTTATACCAAGAGCTATACCCCATAATTTTTAAATTTATTTTGTATTGCCCACTTTGCAAGAAACATGTGATATTCTTTTATTTCATTTTCGTGGTGAGGCTGTTTGAAAAAAACAAACTCCAAATACCAATTAATTTCCACATCTCAAAAATATTAAGAACCACATGACTTTAATATGTTATTTCCAAAACAAGAGATCCCCAATACTAACATATCCATACATGCAAATATGTGAGTTAATCACTACAAACTCCATTCTCATTCTTCAACCAACAAATTGGTTTAGATGCATCAAGATTAAGTGGTTTCGATGCATCTGAAAGCTCCTCCTCACAGCTCATGGGTTTTCCTCAGAGCTCACTTCCTTGAACTTACTCTCCGTCCTCTGGACAAGAATTAGACAATGCTAACGGGTTCAGCGAAGTTTTCATTGAACTTTTGAGAAAAAAAAAAAATATATATATATATATATATATACATACATGTGTGTGTGTGTGTGTATGTTGCAGCCTCAAGTAAGAGAAAGAGAGGAGGGGAGGATTCTAGCATTACAGTGTGCACAAGTCACGAATAGTTTCCTCTATCAAGTCGCCGACGATCATCCCCTCCACATCTTTGCTAATGTTTCCCTCTTCGATGCTGTAGCTCCACCAGTGAAGTCCTTGCCAATTGTGCAGGTCTTTGTGGACTAGTCTGTGGACAGTCTTGCAAGTGTCTTCCGATGGTAGAGTGCGCTGGATGTCGTGCAGCTCCCTCCATATCTCTTGCTCCAGCTTCATGGTTTTGAGTTTTGCTTGGACTGTGTCGTTGTAGAGTTCTGCCTTTAGGATTAGGTTCGATTGTAATCCTAGGACTCTTTCTAAGATCTCTTCCAGGGAGTCCAGCAGGAGGTTTGGATCATGTTCCTGAAGTGTGCTGTTGCTTTGAAGTCTCTGCAGCAAGTTTCCATCGCCGTTTTTCGTGCCTGTCAACTCCGACGTGCTTTGTTTCCTCGCGTAATCCGCAGAACTGCATTTTTCATTGTGAGATCTGCAGTCAGGTGCACCTCGTGGAGACCCGAGAAAGCTTCCCACGAATCCCATCTCTTCCCCCGGCCCCGCATCCTGGAAAATAGCTCGGATCCTGTCGAGACGGTTTTCTATTGCAGTATTCTGTGATTGAGCGGGCAGCACTGCAGAACACTTGCTGAATAGCTCCCCGGAGTCCAGATATGCTTCTTTCATTGAAGCAGGAGTTTCATGGTGCGCCTCTGAGATAGTTCTTGGTCGATCAAGTCCTCCAGCCTGCTTGTCGTCCAAATCTTCGTCCTTCAATGCAACATCTCGAGGTGTTGTCAGTTCCTTACAGACTTTGGACGCTGCCTCCTGAACCTGCAACCAAAACTGCATTGCATTATCATTTGGAAGCAGGCAGTGAATCCTTGCTTCGTTAGTAGGTTAAAAATCACCGAGAACAGCAGCGTGATATCGCTGAAGAGCCGCACCTGTAGGATTAACTGAGGATCAAGGAGATCAGCATTACATGCTCCAGATTTCAAAGGCTCTGTGGTATCTCTATAAGGTTCGACTCTTGAGGAACCTACAAAGTTTTGTACTGGTGGCGGTGACCGTCGTACATACACAATGAGCTCTTTCAATCTCCTGAGTTTCGGACTTTTCACCCAAACAGGTTCAGTATCTGGGATTTGGAGCTGTCTCGGAGCAGACCTCGGAGGAGCAGGATCCGATCTATCAGATGTGTCGATTTTTGCTGCGTCTGTTGTTGTTGAAAAGCTAACATCGGCGTTGTTTCTGGGTCTTACCTCAATCGCATTTGTTTTCTTCGATTTGGATTCCATGGTCACGGTCTTCTCACTGTTGCAATGTGCCGGTTCTTGCTTCAAGCTGCTATAAAAGGCTTCATGGGAGAACGATCTTCCACCTCTCTCATCTTTTGCAAAAGGTTTTCTACTCACTACTCTGCCGCCACTGTAGACCCTGTTGGGTGAATCTCGGGTGAACAAAGAGCAACCTTCGTGAAGTGAGCAAGATTTCTGATTTCTTAGTGTATCTAGTGATGGAGTTCTAGAACTTAGATTGCGCTTCGTTGTAGTGTCACGTGTCTTCTTGGACTCACCATGAACATTTCCTGGTTTTTCAAATTGCCTAACACTGGAAGGGTTATATTCCCAGCAGTATTGCAGTGTATTTCCTGAATGAGCATTTCGAGGTGCTTTGTCTACAACTGCTTTGAATGTCATGGGCTTGGTTGCTTGCCTGCAGTCGAATTGAACAAAAATATATTTGAGAATCGATCACGTTTTCTAGTTGATAAGAGGTTGCCCTGTGCAGAACAAAAAGATGATAAAAAAAAACCCATTGCAATATTCAGGTTTGAATGAACGACATTCCGGCGCATGTGTACCTTCGATAAATAACTGGGCTTTTTATGGAGCACGTTTCTTTGTAGTTCGAAGCGCCGGAGGCTGTCTCCACGTGCCTGACTCGAAAGATATCCGCATTTGAAAATTGCGACCTGGCAGGCTTCCGAACATTCAACACTGCAATGTCGCCGCTCTCTGTCTGCTGCTCCTGCGCTTGACTGCCGGAAATGGGATACAGTGAAGAATCTAGATTCTTTGCCGGAGTAGATGACTCCGAAGCTTTGATTGCGCAATCAACTTGGGTCTGATGTTCGTGGTTCATGTCCAGCTTCATCGCTACATGCCCATCTCCAGTGATCATCTTGTCTGGTGATGGTTTCCCTCCGTCTGACTGCTTGCGCCTGGAAATTGTAAGTAGCACCCTGGGACGGATTGTTTCAAAAGCATTCTGGAGCATCTTTCTCTTATGAAGAGACGGTTCCATAAACATATCAGTAAACACGTTTGTGTCGACATCTTGAATAATTGAATGTTCAAGCTCCAGTGAGGAGCCGCCATCGTTTTCCTCCAGCTGCTCAAATACTGGACAAGCGAAGCCTTCGTGACGCTCCTCCTCCAATGGTGTGAATGGCTTCGTACTTGCGTGTTCGTAGTCTTTATCTTCTTCGCAGCGACTTAAGCTTTCTTCCGTTATGTATTGAGCTAAATAATTGTACTCATCACACGCCTGCTGCCTGCAGAACGCCGAATGTGGTTTAAGGCCATGGACGACATATTTCTTCGACTGGCATGGTGTGGGTGGTGGAGGAGACGCAGCCCTCTGAACCTGCGGGTCAAATTGCATAAGCCCTTTGAAGAGCTTATCCCTTCTCGATGGCGCATCTGGAACTTTTGATGCAAAAATTGTCGATGGCTGGTTGGAGATCGGAATCTCCTCTAATCCCATCAACCGAGCAATGACGCTAGGAACTCGGCGATGCCCCTTGCTATCTGCTTCGCCGCTAGGAAGATGGTTATGGTCACATTTCTGGCTGGGGATACTAACCAGTACACTCTCCCTTGAACTGAGAGATTGCTCTGAATCCCTTCTAGAAAGAGATTTCCCTCGAAGACTTCTCATCGTTGAATCTCCTCTTCCGTCTGTAAAACTACGACGACTGTCTATTCTCCCTGCAGATCTACAGGGCGACTTGGCACTATCATCTGAATCATTCAACAGATCCGCATCTTTGGTGACACTAATACTAAATAGGCTCACTGAACTCCTGAGCCCTTCTTTCTGATGAACAATCTCCTTGGGTTTGGACCTAGCAGAAAATGATGAAGATCGTGACGATTCTGCCGCTTTTCGTGATCCATCTACTCTTCTATCTTGAGGTCGCTGAGAGCTTTTGAAGTAGCTTTGGTGAGAACGACTGCTGAGCGTGTGGTGTGCATTATTGGTATTGGTTGTACCGCTTCGGCATTCGACTTCTTTCTGAAAAGATCCTCCCACAGTATGGTTCCTGGTATCTGAGGACGACTCCGATGCACCCATGTTCACTACCCTCGAGACTGCAGGGATTGTCTTTCGATGATGCTTGCTTTTCTCTCGTTGATCCAGGTTGGAGCGGTGTCGAGGTTCTGCTGCGAAGTTTGTGTTGCAATGGCCGCCTGTTTCTGCTCTCATCTCGGTTGGACCTACTTGCGATACCGACCCACATTTGTTAACAACTGTGGGTAATTTATGTGTTTAAAACGATAAGAGACCCAAAATCATTCCAGTATCCACAGACTCAAGGGGTGATTCACAGAATGAGATGGATTCAATTTTCGCACCGCTGTCAATACCTGTCCGAGTTGAGCTGTACCTGCGGCCAATGCAGGTCGGGTGGACTTCAAACATTTGGAAGAGCCCCGCCATGCATCCTAACGTTTCTCCCAGTGGATGGTGCCCTGCTAGAGATTTAAGCAGGGCTTCGTCCGGAGCTGGCATAGCCGTGTGAAGCTTGTACCCAAACGTGGAGCAAATTCTTGAGACGATTAGAATAGTCGAAGGTTAAAACTCAGTTTCCGACTACGTATCACGTCCATCCCAAGATCCTCAGCATCCTGCCAATCTGCATCACTGATTCAGTTTGCTATAATCGGCTGAGTTATGCGTCAAATCGTGCCTCCAGTCCACTGCTTGACGTGTGGTACAAATTGCTTCATTGAGGTTTCTTGAACATGACTGCACTGTACCTAGCGGCGTCAGTTGACAGTAGGGGTTCTGAATTGACAAATGTCACAAGGACTGTGCAGAATCTTAGGAAATGGAACCTGGGCAACGTCCCTCTGACAGCAATATCGTTTACTTATACCCAAGCGATTCCAATTCAGGACTAGAAGAAACGCATCGTTACAGGACAAAGCCAGGTTCAGCAGCTTGTAAGAAATCTCACACGTGAAACCAAGAAATTGAACCAAGGGTAGCGAGATGCTCTGACAGATATTTCCAAAACCCTCGATCGGATGGTTAGTTTCAGATAGGAACGGAAAAAGTACGGAAGAAATAGTAGGGAAATCAGTCATTCCTGCTTGGGCTTACCAATTCCTTAACTGACATGCTTGAATTATGAACACATTCCGGCAATGCAGTAAGGTGCTTGAGTTCCTGATGAACATTCCATACAACCACTACTACATTCCCTTTGGACAACGACAGCAGAAGAAAGCATCGACGTTGAAGGTAAAGCTTGTAACGATTCCGACTGATTGTACAAACGATCGCTGGTGATCAATTCCATTCAGGAACTGATCGCCGGAATCAGTAAAATCAGCTCAAGCAAGCTCATTCACTCCCACCAACCCCTTCCCTAGAGTCATGGAAGCACACGCCTAGCCTTCATGCGATGGTGAGCTTCAATCAACGTCTCAACGATCACCACATTCACGCTATTCGAAATGCTCACTAGATTTTAAAAAACAAAAAACAAAAAAAATAATAATACAAGAACACAAATCAACAATAAGCTCAGCGAACCCACTTCTCAAAAGTACTTTCACTCTAGACACACACACACACACACTCATACCGACATTCTTGATCAAGTACAGCATCCCTGAATGAGAAAACGTCGGTGCCCGCTCACCCGCAGCAGCTGGCCTCCTCGCATCACACACTCCACAACACGTTTCCTGCTCTTGAGCTTGTTTCTCATCATGCTCTCCATCTTCGAGGCACCAGTAGCAGCAGCAGCAACAACGATGCAGAAAGAGACTGTCAGAATGAGGTTGGGCTTTGCCGTCTGTCGCCCCCTCTGCTTCTTTTCTTCTTCTTCTGTTTTTTCCCCTTTTCTTGTGCTTTATTGTATGGTATTGTGTGGGTGCAGCAGGCGCAGCCACAGCCTCTGTCTTGGAGGTTGCTCCCTCCCTCTCTCCTCCCTCTCTCCCTCCCTCTACCTGAGTGTGGTGGTGCCTCTGCTTGTGGTGGTAATGTGGGGCCCAGGTTCAGGTGATGGTGGTGGGTTCATTTGTGAAGGTTCTGTGCTTGGTGGTGAAGAAAAGCTGCATTTTGGAAGCCTGGGTCTTTGAAATAAAGTGAGAAGAGAACATGAAATTAATCTGTGGGTGAGCTCAGCCTCCATTTGCATGCATGTTCTCTTACATACACACTCCCACTACCCACTTCATCTCCAATTTCTCTTGCACATCCTAGTGTGAACTTGAACTTTGATGTGAATTGTGTATATAAGGTTGTTACATATATATATATATATATATACACACACACACACACACAATATACCTTGGCAACCAATGCCCCTTACTGCAATTAAAACAAAAACATAAAAAAATGGCACTGCGTCAACCACATGTAGGTTGGATTCATTTGCATTGTTGCTGCCAACATTGCTGCTGTCAATCCCGCCAGTTCTATCCTACTCCAGCCCAGCCCATTCTATCCCATCTTGTCTCATCTTGCATTATTTTGGCCTGGCCCGTCCCATTCTAGTAATTAGATAACTTGGGAGTAACTGGATTAAATTTGTAACTAGCTTTTATCACCCTACTGCTCAAGTCAATGGAATTTTTTGATGCTCCAACCAAACATAGGCTGGTATATATATATATATATATATATATATATTTACATACATACACATATACATATTCACATACATGTGATGTTTGTGTGCTAGGTTTTCAAGAATTGCAAATTCTTAGGGTTGGAATTTACATGGAGATTTGAAAGGATCTTATAAATCCCACAAATTGTGCCCAAATCAAGTGTTAATTCTCTTTGTGAAGAATGGGTGGAGGTTTCATAGAATGTGGTGTAAAGTTATGGTTTACTTGGTGGCAAGATGTTGAGGGGAATGGATAGTGCTACTTACTCACCTTTCTTAACCAGCACCTGGTTTCTAATACTGATTAAGTCTCTATTTGAAGTCTTGTGGTTTATAATATACACACACATCTAGTCAATATAATCAACTTAATATTAGAAACAATTAGTGCCACCTAACTTATGACAATGCAGCATTCTATACAAAAGTTCAAAGTGTAAAATTTAAATTTTTGGGTTTACAACTTAACTCCTAAAGTTCTTTGTGTTATCTTGCCTTCCAATATTTTCAACACTTTCAATGGTAAAATCTTGATTCTAACTTATGATAGGAACAATTTCTACTTGTGACTCCAAAATTTTTAGATGGTAGATAGAGGCTTTATTACATGTTTAAAAGTAAAAATTAAAAAATTAAAAAAAAAAAAAAAAAAAAAAACTGAATTGATGTAGATTTTAGAAGGTCATGCATGACCATTAGCTCTAAAATGCATTGGGTAGATCTCTAATGCTTTTGGCTGCCCCCAAATCTACCCACAATTATGTTTGTAAACTACACTGACATACTTGCTCTTATAAATAATTCTATGCAATCAAAGTGACATAAAACATAAAAGAATACAAACATAATACATATTTAATAAAATACTTACTAAAAGTCTAAAAATAAAAGTAGTAAAACAAATTTAAATGAATTTTTTTTTTCTTTCTTCCTTTTTTCAAAAAGACATGTGTTTACAAAAAAAAAAAAAAAAAAAAAAAAAAAAAAAAATAGTTAAACATAATTCAGAATAAATTCAAAAAAAATAAGACACATGCATGAAAGAATGAATTGAAAGTAATAGTTATGCCAATGCAATTTTTATTTGAATTGTTTATAGGAACAAGCTATAAAATTTTGAAAAAAAAATTTGAAAAGATTAAATATTTATTATTATTATTATTATTATATATACTCGTGTATTTTTTTAAACAATTCAACATAAAGCATCATGATTGCAAACTTGGCAATAAATGAATGTACGTAGCTTAAATTCTATAAATATTATTTGTACAAACTCTTAGTATTGTTTGACAAGAGAAGTCAGAAACACTATGACATGCACTGTTGGATTAAGTCTTGAAAATGCTTCAAATTCTACCAAAAGTATCAAAGAATTAATCATATCATTAATTCAACCTTTTCCAACTCACAGTTCCATCCAATATGCTTAAAACATTAAAAAAATGCCACCTTTCAATAAATAAGAATACCATTCTAAAAAAATACTAAGAAAAGTTTTTAGAAATATCAAAGTAGATTGGTCTTGAATTACACAACGTTCCATCCATCCATCCATCCATCCATCCAAAAAGATGGATGAAGAAGATGATAAATAACAATAATAATAATAAATTAACAAATGAGGCAGTGAGTCCATCACAAGAGATGAACCTTCTGGAAACATGTAATAGTGTTTCCATCTGTGTTGCCATTGACACCATTCTGGCCACTATTGGTGATGGTCATCCCTCCAACTGTAGAATGTACACACTAACCAACGACTCTGAAAAAATAAATGAATAAATAAACAATGAACAATTGCATGTTGCTAATTTGGGGAAAAGACAAACCAATACATAGAAACAATACAAAACAAAAACACAAAAGAATGAGCAAACAAGGGAGGGAGGGATATGGGCATGTGCATTGTGCACAGAGAGATGCATCACAGTGAGGTAATCACAATTAAGTCTGAGTGAGTGAGTGAGTGAGTGTGTGAGTGAATGAATAAATGAATGAGTGGGTTATTGAGGGTTGTGCCCCATCTGACATGGCAACAGCAAACTCATTGAATTATATGTCTCGCTCCTCTCTTCACTCTCTACTGTGCCATTGCAATCCTCCTCTTTACTTCATTACTTCATTACTCTTGCTCTCTCGCAGTCTATGCTTCTGATTCTATTTTCATGTGTAAAATTGTGACTTTTATGCAACACAGTTATCAAGCTATGTGCTAATGCCAAGAGGGGCTCAGGGAATATCTTGCTCAGGTCTCTTCAAGAGTCTTGTTGGATTTATTTATTTTTATTTTTTTACATTTTTATTTTTTTATTTTTTGATATAGAAGGATAAGAACTAAGTTTCTGGGTATTTATCCAAAGGTATTGATAATTGAGATAAATTTTTTAAAACAAGAATAAGAATTAGAGTTTTTTTATAAGAATAAAAAGATTTTCTAAGCCAATCCAGACCACATTTTTTTTATATATAATGGTTTTTTCTATTAGTGTGTTTTAGACTAATAATTATAATTATTCTGTTTCTTCAAACAGAATCTGATTTCAAATGTAATATTTTTAACAGAAGTACCTTATTTCAATTCATTTAACTTTTCTTTTGATTTGTTGATCCTTTGCATTTTATTACTCAAAAGTAAATATGATATCTTGTTGATGTTATTAATCACTATATATACCATTGTAAGGATTAATATATTACATGATATGGATCCTGCTAAAATTTTCAACCCTGCTTATTTTATTTTTTATAAACTCTTTACTCTACTTTTATCATAATTTCTACATAATTACGTTTCTTTTAAAGATTTAGTTGTCACAAATGCGTTACTATTGTATTTTTAATGCCTTTTAATATATTCTCTACCGTTTCTTTATTTAATTATTTTGAGTTTAATTCATATCATGTAGGAATTTAACATAAAAAAGTGATTTAAATAAAAAGAATTAAGTAAGATTTCATAACATTTTCTATGCTTAATTATAAAAGAAGAAATCTAATCTGTGAAAGAAGTCAATAGAGGAAATCTAATCTGTGACAAAATAAGTATTTTAGAATAGCTATTCCACATTTTCAAATATGATCTTTGTCTTTGTTGTATCCAAGTATTGCTTTCAATATATGGCAATCTACATAATTTTATAAATTGTGGTCAAATTCTTGTGCAATGATGTATAAAGGACAAAAAACATAATAAAATCCTCTAGACCCAATATACTCTTAATACATTTAAAGAAAAGAATTAAATTAAATATTGATTAATATACAAGGCAACCATGCAATTTTAATATAGTTTTAGAATTGTCTCATTTTAAGGAGGTTTTTAAAACTTTTTCAATTATTATATATTATGTTTTATTCAATAAAATAAAAATAATTTATATTTATATCTTTTATTTTATATTTTATAAAGCACTAATTATAGATATAGATCTAAAATTAAGTTTTTTAATATCATAGAATCAAATAAGATATATTGGATTTTAAGAAGTTCTAAGATTCGTTTTCTCCAACTTTTAGATCATTGGTGACAATCTTTAAAATTTAGATGAGTATTTAAATTCTATGTCTGTTTATCAATTCAAAGTATTTGTATTATAATAGTTGCATTGCTATGTGTTTGTGATTCTTGTATTTTGTGCCTAAATAGAATATTTTTATTTTTATTTTATTTTTTTATATTTATATTATAAACAAGAATCTTCAGAATTTAAGATATGATTATTATTGTTGTTCTTTATGTTAAATATTTCTTTTATTGTAGGATTAAGAATAATCAACTATGCATTTATAATAAATTTTTAATCTACATTAAGAATTTTTTTTTCTTCATGTGCACTTCAATTATTTCTATGTTTAGTTATGTCTTTTACAATTGGTTGTCTATTAGGTCCAATGGTTAGAGGGCTTATGTAGAATAGTGATGGCATTCATGATTCTCATCCTAGATGGTATCCATGTTATATTTGTGCGATGATATGGTTTATAAAGAACCACCAATTTAGGTTTTTTATTGTTTTGGTATAAAAAAAGATTTCTTGAGCAAACAAATTGTACTATCGAAGAAGTATTATCTCCATCTCCCTATTACTTTTTTTTTAAAGATGTTATACTATTATGTTATTTTTGGCATGATTTTAGATACTTGGAGTAGCTGCTTCAATATTATTAACTATTTGGTTGAAACTACACTTTTTATTTCATGGACTTCTTCTCATATTATTAATTGCACTAACTATAATTGAATGTAAAGATTTCTTGCAATTGGTTCTATTTATGATCTCTCTTCTCTTGTGTATATAAACTTAGATGGATCCATAATAAAACCAAGAGATTAGTGTTTCAAGTTTTTATTTTTATTGATTCATTTTTATAAATCCATTTAAATTAGTTGATAGCTAAAAGATTAATTTTATTTTTTAAACTTTTTTTAGTTATAATTCAATTTAGATAAGCTTTAATTTTTTAAAATTTCTACAATTATATAGCTTTTTTATCCTTTTGACTATTTTAGATAATATATTCAACTTCTAAAGCATATAATTATAGTCTATTATTAATATATATATATATATATATATATATATATATATTGATAGAACTAATTACTTCAATTGAATAAAATTCACCTCTTTTAAAATTTAATACAATAAAAAAAAAAATGATGTAGGTCGACAATGTTGTTATCATCATCTCTAAATTGTATTTTGAATTGATTGGTCATAAAACTACTTATTGTCCAAAATTTGACATGCAAATTTACGATAAAATCCAAACTAAGATTCTAACTTAGATTTTTAATAAATTTAAATCATGAAGATGAAAATTTAAGATCTTTTTTTTACATAGTATAAATACTAATAATAGATTTAAATAGATTTATTAACTTTAACTTCTTTATTGCATATTGATTGCTTATTTCAATCAAAAAGAATATTTTTGACTAAATTTTTGTTGATTTTTAAAGAGTGACCAAGTTTCTTTTGTAGATTGGCAAACTATTTATCAAAAACCAAGTTTAATGGTTTATTTCTTTTAAATCCAACCATAATAAAAAAATTACTCTAAATATTTCATCTATTTCTTGACAATATTCATGTCAACTTCAAAAATTCTATTCAAATTGCAAAGTAACAAACATCTAAAACTTCTTGAGAAATCAATTAGAAGTTCTTTACTTAAAATTTTGTTGAAGAAATAAAAATATAAGGCCTCTATCTTGAGTCAAATGTTATGTGATATAGTTCCTTTCAAAAACAAATCTTAGAATTATATTAAGAGCTTGTTGTGGTTTTGTCTCTACCATCAACTTGTCTTGTTGTATCAATATTGTATTATCTTATGTAATTTCCGTAATGTCATAATAGCTTAAACCATCAACTTAAGGTTTTTCAGCTATCATGAGGTGTTTTTTTTTAAAAAAAAATAAAAAATAGGTGGAGAAATAAGATTCTGATTTGCTCCAAAAGAAAGAAAGAAAAATGAATTTCCATAGTGGTTTAATTGATAAAAATTAACAAAGAAGTTTTTGCATTTGACCCCTAAACCAAGGCATAGACTTGAGCAAAACCCTCCACTTCCATCACATTAAACCATACCCTTCATCCTTGTAAAGTTTGTTGATCATTGGTGGGTGTGGAATGGACTTGGAATCTTTCTACAGGAAGAATGGTGTTTTTGGGTTTGTGCAAGGGTGGTTTAGGTAAGGTCTATGGGTTGGTTTAGGGGCATGACAAAATGTCATCTTGATTTGTCTTTTGAAAACTTTTATAGGTTGTGTGCAAGTAATTAATCCAAACAATCTATTGTAGGTGGGACACAGATAGATAGAGGTATGCCCAGAATATACCAGCATAATATCAAATGTTTACCCAGTTTAACTGAAACTAGGAAAATGATTGAGATCTGCAGAAAGTCGGTTTGATTGACTGAAATCCTGTACAGCACAATCAGGTACATCTTTAATTAGATCTAATTGCACAAACAAGTGTCAGACGATGTTGGTGAGTGGAATTGTCTAAAGCTTGGGAAGTGTGCACCTGAGGTGGTAGCTTTGAAGCTAGCGCATGCATACAGTTACTTTGTTTGACTAGAAGAGACACTTTGCAGACACTGGGATACTTAAAATTGCATCTGCAGTACTTGAAAAGGTGTCCATGATTCTGTTCTCTTTTCATCAGGGTGTAAAATATCAATACAAGGTTTTGTTTGATTTATTTATTCATTTGTTCGGTGTCTACACATAAACAGTTCTAAAGCAGCGCACACAACCAGAAGCATGAACAGAAGTTACCTTGGTAAAATTATGCTCAGCTCTAGTAAACGTGTCAGAGGCAATAATATGGATGGAAATCCAAACTTACACCTTCCACTGCCAAACAGAATGAGGTGAATTGGTTACAGTTTACTAAAGGAGTAAAAAGGAGTGAAGAAATGCCTCACAATTACAGAATACAAATAGCAGACTCAGTTCCAGCTGCAACTTTACAAAAAGACGAGGGACGCATATAGGTGACTACAGCATTCCACATCCATGGAAGCCATTGACATTTGGAGAGGGAATGGATTTTCGGAGCTCGAAGTGGAGATATGAAAGTAGGGAGTTAAGAGTGCAAATGGTCATTAAAGGCGAGTTTATCTTTATTAAACAAATGACGAGCAAGTACAACAAAGAGATGGGCCATGATTTCAGAACAAAATGTCCATAGTTTTCATAAGTACTCAGATCCCCTAAAACAGAAATAAATCATAATTATACATAATCGTCTCTATCTACACCAAGCTTCAAGTGCAAATGCTTCTCACGTTTGTGAAATTCAGTAGTCCCCTTCCCACTGCCTGTAACACCTACCTTCCCCTTAGGATCGTCAGGAGTTTTGAATATACTCTCCCTTTTGCGCCCCGTGAAAAACCCCACTTGCTGCTAGAAAAAACACACAATCTGCGATGTAAGTAAACAGGCAGCAATTGTTCAGAGGGAACATACTGAAAATTTGCAGTCTACAAAAGTGGGGTCAAAAGATCCTTCATTCTTGTCAAAATCGTGATAGCAAGAATACGGCTTATAAATAGATTAAGCTCGAGATAATACATTATTAAGCAAAGAACAGGACAGAAGGCACGTACTTTTTTGGATTTTCCTTTGGTAGTTTGAAATTGCTGCCAAGCATTTTGATTTTTGTTCTGTGTCAGCTCCATCTGCTCAAGCCTGACCTTCGACTTAAAAGCATGTATCTTTTTCTTCTTCGCTGCTTTCTGCAACGATCAACAGATCCTATGAACAAGATAACTGGATTTGCACAGAACTTTAAGGAAGTTAACATGAAAAACATTGACTACATCAGAACTTATATGGACGTCGAAATAGGTCTCACGTACCACATCTTCAGGATCATCAGGTTTGATCCGCAACTTTGGGGGCAAATCCTTAGAAATAACATCCACGTTGGCGGCTTCTTCGATCTTTCTCTTCAAGGCAAGCCTGGTGAGATTAGCTTGTTGCTCAGCACTCAATAATGGATCCACACTTGCCTCGTCAACTGCCTCAGCTCCATCGAGCATTTTGTCTAAAACTTCCTCATCATTGTCTGAAATGTTAAATTCCCTTACATTTGAAGCATTCACCTGCAACATACATAAGATATTTTAGGTCTCAAACCATCAGAGCGAAAAATTTAAAGAGACTAGCGGGGCACGTCCCCATATTACCATAACGTCCTAAGAACTAAAAGCACGCACCTCTTCTTTGTTTCCCCATTCATCGTAGACAACAAAATAGCCCCCAGGAGTAACTGCTTCTACTGTGGCTTTATACCTGCAAGTAGCAGAGAAAGCTAAACTAATTAGATAGAACTGTCATGAGAACAATCAGAAACGAACAATATTAACCTTCTAATACAGAATCACACTGAGCACTACGAAGCGTGACCTTTCGAAAGACAGAGCTTGAAAGTAAAAAGTTAGTTAAACGACGACTACAAAAGGGAACAAACTACTTCATTGAGTGACCCTGAGACAAACATTTAAACAAGAAATCAAAAAAAATAAGGTCTTTCAAGCCAGACGAAAAACTAGATATATGTTTGAATTCAATTCTAAAATCAAATATCATAAACAGTGGCATCAATTACCATTGTCCGTCTCCACTCCACATGGCTTGAACTTTAGTCCCAACACGAAGTCTGTCTGCAACATTTTGTGTAAAGCTTTCGCCCTGTGAAATAAATAAATCAATAAAAGCCAATTTCTATTAAGAAAAATTGTTAGGTAACAAGACAAAGAGTCAAATTAGCATCCCTATTGAAAGCATTCATTTCAGTTCCGAGAAATTTTCTTTGGGAGCCATCTGTCGCTTGTATTCCTATTTCCAAGCCCGAAAGGCTGGAACCGAAGCCATGATCCATTCTGATTGATGTATAAAAGCTCAAAAAATACGCCAAAGACCTCACCTGAAGCGGCGTGTGAGTAGATGAGAGATGAAAGGGAGGCCTCTGCGTGCTTGTAGCCGCAATTTGTTCCTGTTCCTGCTCCAAAGCCGTTGCATCTTCTTTGGCTTGTTGAGCTTCATTAAGCAGATCATACGTCAACTCCAAGACCTGCAAAAATTCAAGTCAACTGGCAGATCAATTGTTAAGAACAGGATGCGAATGTGACCGACACATCATCCACTGAAATCCTACTTATTCATATACTGGAGTGATTTAAGTTAAAACGATTCAACAGTTGTGCACTTGCAGGAAGTTGACGGCACGTTATGGTTTTCTCAGCAGTGTAAGAGGCGAACGTAGAAGAAATCACGACCACTGTCGAACACACCGCTGTGTGTCAATAGGGCAAACCACCTCACCTTGCAAAGCAACTCCGACAAATGTCCTCTCTCGCATGCAGCGAAGTCGTGTTGCCCTGCTTGAACAAAATTGATGATCCTTAGGACATTTCCAAACCCTAGCTGACGCTACATTCTGTTGATCGCCACTAGTTCTTCTCTAACCCCCCTACTACTTCTGTACACCACGTACACCTGGCGCAGTTCGGGCCCCTCGCGTAAACCACACAACCTACAACAGACCGACTTACTACCATGACTTGCATAATCTACTGCCACTCACAAGCATAGCACCGAGTTGACCGTCATTTACAGGTACGTACCTCAGTCAAACTTTTCTCCATCTCCTGATACTCCCCATTGTTAGGATCCAACACCAGCAATTCCTTCACCTGCAGTAACATGCAAAACCCTAGTAAGTCGCCAACGATCCTCTCCGAGCACCGCCACACAACTCCGGATCTTCCAAAAGAATACAAACCTAATACTACAAACCGACCCCGGGAACACCGAAATAAGTTTCACGTACTTGCTGTAGCTGCTCTTTATACGTCGAGAGATTGGCCTTCAACTCTTCAATGTCCTGTAGGCTCATCTTGGCCCAACTGCGTTGACGACACCACTCGGCAGATTCCAATTCCCGTCCAAAAAATAAATAAAAATAACGAAAACCTCCTCAGTCCAGTAGTAACAAGCGCTGTTCAAAAAACATCGCAAGCAGCACCGAGTAAAGGAGAATCCGCAGCAAGCAAGAGAGCAATCTTCCAACACAACAGGCACAGGGAAGCAACACACACACACCGCGGCGAGCTTCGAATGAGCGACGCCGAAATTCCCCTCCAATCTCTCTCTCGACTGGAATTGCCCTCTTCCCCTTGTAGATGAATGCCTTCGTTCGTTTTCTCGTTCGAATATGCCCATCCATATTTTTTGCATCCCTTATCTGTTCGGACCCTTCGTTCATCTCAAATCTGCTCGGAGTCTCTGTTCGTCGTGTTTCTGCTTTGAGTTTCTGTTCATCTCACTCTGCTTTTGTGATATTTCATCCATTTAGAGAATTTGTACGCATATTAATCGTTTACAATTAATTTTTTTATTTTATAGTATGCAGCCAATTATTGTTTCAAATATGTTACATTACATATTTTTGTTGCAATACTTTTGCATTTTAAATATTATTCAACAACAGGCACACCACTCTAAGATCTTTTAAGTACTGTGATGCATACAAATTTGAATTCGTCATGAAAGTATCACAAATAAACCCTGTCACATTCCTATAGTATCACACATCTTGTTCATCAATTCGAGCTCCTTTTTCAACCTTTTGGGATTATAGACATTCTTTTATGAAAAGAGATGCAAATATATCATGGTCCTTTTACACCAAAAGTTGAGGTCAATTAAACTCCAATTCAACACACACACACACACACACAAAATAAAATAAAATAAAATAAAATTCCGAAGTTCAAAAAAGTTCCCTGAGCGAAATAAAAAAGCAACATGAACTTTCCCACTATGTTCAATCCAATTCACAACACACAAAAACACAAACCCCACTTTCAAACCAACCCCAGCTCCCACAAATACACACACCAGCTCACACGCTTGAAAATACGAGACAAAAGAAAAAAGAAAAACGAAAAAAAAAAAAGCAACAAGAGGAAGAAAAAGAAAAAGCAGCGTGGCCAAGCCCGACCCCATTCACACGGGGAAGCGGGAGGGAGGGAACGGGGATATTTGGGAAAGCGCGGGACGGGCGAGAAGCAGCAAGAGGACAAGTGTCCAGGTGACGTCAGATATGGGCGAGGATGACGAGGACGATGGCGTTTGCCCTAATTACACACAAACACACACTCTCTCCAACACAGCGAGAGAGAAAGAGTATGAGAGCATGACAATGAGCCAAACGAGTTTGCTCGGCCTCTATTTTGTCCACAGATCCAGCTTTCGACATGGTCGTTGCATCATCCCCTCCCGCCCCGACTCGTGCACCATGTTGTTGGGTCTTCTCGTGTGTTTTGACATCGATCTCTTGGTGCCCTCACATTCTCCTCCTCCTTCTCTTCTGCCGCTGGGGTTTGCCGCAATCTGATAGACCTCGGTTAGATCGTCGGGCTGTGTGTTGTGTTGTGAATCCGATGTGACAATCCTGTTTGTGGCGGTGGGCATGCTAGGCGTAGGCCAGCATCTCAAGGCTGATGTTGTATGCATTGTGAGAAGAAAGGGAGTTTGGTTTTTGTACTTGTGAGAGAAGGGAGTCAGCAAGCAAGGAATCTGCCATGGTGGTTTTCAAGAACAGGTACATGGTGCTAGAGATGGTGGTGGGTCACGGCCTCCGATTGGCCGATGTGAAGATCACCCAGAACGATGTCGCGAGCGCCATCCAGGAGAGCCTTCTCGTCAACTTCGGCGAATATGGGCTTGCCTCCAGCCTTCCTTCTCTTCAAGGTATTGATCGCAATGTAACCCCCCCCCCCCTCCCCCCCTCTTTTGGTCTATCATGGCAAGGATTAGAATTAGGATTATGGGTTGGGACACAGGTCGTGATTCTTTTGTTCTGGAAAAATGTTTCTTTTTTACTTATCTTTTTATTGATGTTCTCGAAGTTTAAGCCATTTTGATGTGGAGCTGTTACTTTGTGCAGTTAAGTACGTGAATGGAGGAACAGGGATATGTGTGGTACGGAGCAGCAGGAAGCAGTACAGGACTATATGGGCTGCTATCACCTTTGTCACGGAAATACGGAAATTACCGCTTGTCTTCAACCTTCTCGACTTGAGTGGTGAGACTCCTAATAAGATCGCTCCTCCATTGTCTTGTAAAATGCGCTATGTTGAGATATGTTAAGTGTAAGCAAGGTTCATCTTTTTTGGCTTTCGCTGCAGGTTATCTTTGAATTTGTTCATGTTGAGTGCGAATGTCTTTTGGTAGTAATTATGAACTGTTGTTAACATGGTGATTGATTCAGGCAGTACAAGTGCGTGTCGGCGGGCAGCGCAGCAGTGTGACTCAGAGAAGCTGAGGTTGTTGAAGTTAGACAAGCACACGCTATCGGCGGAGCAACTGGAGTACGCCGAGCTGATGCAAAGCAGGCTTTCTTCAATTGATTAATTATTCGATCCATCTTACATAACGCCTATAGGCGCTATTATATAACCCCTACACAAGTTGGAGTTTATATTCTTATACCAGATACCACTCTACAAATCACATTGCATTCATCGGCAACTTTGGAGATAAGGGAAGTGATTTTCTTGCTATTTGAATTGAGGGAAAAGCTCCCTTAGTGCTAGTTTGGTGCTTAATTACTGCGACCTACCTAAATCGAATAACATGTGTGCTTTCAAGGTAAATAGGGCTCATATATAGCACTCGACAATGTACATGATCTTAATTACTCAAACCATTGGCAATTGGCAATTGGGAAGTGTGCCTCTTTCTAACTTTCAATGCGTACTAGAAGAGTGATCATTTTAACTATTTTTCATTTGACTGTGGCTAGTTACTGATCATTGTTAGGGAGCAGGTGGTTATGGACTTCGACCAGTGGTTTGTAAGTATCTAACGTTTGAGGGTTTTTTCAGTTTTGAAACCTATTAAACCAAGATTTCAAGGTTTGGCTCTTTGCGGTCTCTTGTAAGAATCGTTTTACTACTAAATATCTTCTGGAGAATCGTTTTACTAAATTTTTGTTTGAGTATGAGCATTATTCATAACACAACGTGGTTAAAATTCAAAGACTTCGCTAAATCGCACAATGTGTCTGCAATGAATATAAACAATCACAGATCACATTTCAAGACATCTTGAAATGTGATCTGTGATTGTTTAAATTTATTGCAGACACTGAAACATTCATTTGGAACTACTCCAAAGATTTACTTCTAAGTCGTTGATGAGTAAACGACGTGTCATGAATGTGAAGCTCAGCATATAGAGAATATGTTAGTAACTTTTTGTACAACTATTTAAAACGATATCTGGATATTTTGCTGTTCAGAAAATTCAAAAATCCTAAGCGTATTTTTCGACATTTATTATTAGAAAAGTTGAAGTACTATAATTATTTCGTTTGCATAATAAATGCTTGTACATTTTAAAAGAGCTGTACTAGTAGTTTAGTAGAATCGTCAAGGTATAATTCGAAAGGACTAAATGAAGATTTCTTTTATTATTTTGATAAAAACAATGTCAAAACCCTTCAGTTTTAACACTCACAATTGATTGTGCTTATCTGGCAAACAACAGCATCTAATGTCTCGTTAAACTTTTAAGTTGCTTTGGATTGAACTACAATATGATGAAATCAACTAGAACTTGCAGAAGATTATGTTGCTGTAGATAAATAAATAAATAATATTATTCTGTGATTGTAACTGAATGTTGTGATAATATGCGAATATATAAAAATATAAATTTTATAATAAATTCTACGTATATTCAAACTTCGAAGCTATGTTTTAATGTTTTAAATCTGCACAGTTCAAATACTGGCATGAATCACATGTAACTCATTCTGTTTTCCAATTTGAAATCAAATTACTATTTGATTAATATTGTCTTACGCAAAAGAGGCTGAGCAAAATTGTTAGAGATGATTTAAAATTGATGATGTTATTTTGTTTTTCAGAATCTTCAAATAGTACTAAAATAATAATAATCTTTACAATCAGACTATAATCACATACACATTCAAGTTAACTTGTGTAATTATGATTATAATTATTTTCTCATTAATTTTTTTTATCTCAAAATTTTTATCATAGATTGTTTTTTCTTAAAATCATGCTACAATGGATAATTATATATATATATATATATATATATATATATAAAGAAAAATCAACTTATAATGTATCTTTTTACAACTCCTATTTGGTTTAAGAATGTTCAAAATATAAGTTTCTATATGCTAAATACTTTTAAAACTCCAATTTTTAGCAACATTGAAATGAAAATAAAATCGAATTTGTATGTTATTTTTAAAAAATTACTTATTTTAACCGGAAAATCAAAACATAACGACAAAATAAGAAAAAAACAAAAAACTTCAACTCGTGAAAATAATGTTTATTTATCAGGTTTTGCTACCACAAGAGTCTAAGTCACATTTTTGTAATTACATTCACACTTTGACTTTGTAGTAAAAGTATCATTTGAATTTAAATCATTCGAATCTGAATTTAAATCTGCATTTTTAATTTTTTTAAATTGATGTTATTTTTAATATCATTGAAAAATAATATATTGCTGACAATTGTAAATAATCAACAATAATTTTTGTCACCATACCTTGAAGATAATATTTTCTTGGCATGCCATTGAACATTCAAATTGAACATGATACAATTGTTGATATATAATCACAATTCATGTTTGAAACAAATAATAATAATAAAAAAAAAAAAAAAAAAAAAAAAACCATCTTTAAGACAGATAGTATTCACATATTAATGTATGAAAGTTGTAAGCAACAAAATAATGACCAAATAAAACATGTAATTTTAATTTTGAATGAAATGTACCAATAATTATATATATATATATATATATATATATATATATATATATCTTGGAAAATATTAAAATGATCTACTCATTTACTAAATCAATCCACCCTATCATAACCATTATCTCTTGAAACCTTCATTACAATCATAGCCTTCATCCCAACTTTCTTTATTCTTAGTCCTCCTCCCTCTATTCTTAACCTTCTTCATCTTGACCCTCTCCCTTTCATTCCCTTTCTTCCATTCCCAATTCTTATCTTGACCCCTCATTTTCCTTATTCTCAAAATAAGGTGGGTCAATTTAGTAAATGGATGGGTCATATATATATATATATATATATATAATTAAAAGTAAATGAATTTTATATTTATAGAAACAAGTTTTTTTTCTATTTTTAGATTTGTCTCCAAATCTATTTAAATTAATATCAAATATTAATTACTAATTTAAGGTTTTTTTTATTATGATTAAGAATATGTTATAACTTCTAATATTGATGTATTTTAGATTTTTTTGTTACATATATACATAAGAATATTGCAAATTTTAAATTTGATAATATTATTATATTTTTAGTTTAAATTTGTATTTTTTTTAAAAGTGTGATGTTTTAAAAATCAACTTTTGAGTAAATTTATATTTAATTTTTATTTCCAAAATCATTTTAACTATTAAAATTTAATAGTCATTTATTAAAATATATCCAATAATTTATCTATTGATTATTTATCTTTTATGTATGCATAAACAAACATATATGATCAATTCTTTTCCATCATTATTTTTTAAAATAATATTATACTTTTAATATGCTATAGATGATATTAATGCCATTTTTTTATAAAAAATATATTTATTGGAAGTAACATAAATAATAAATAATAAAAAAATAAATATACAAATAAATTATATATCTAATTAATCATTTATAAACAAATATGTAAATACAATAAACAACATTCTATCTAAACTCTTTATACACATAGTTTATGAATTATCACAAATTGTCAAGGACATGAATTATAATCAATAAAAAATTCAATACACTCTTGTCTCACTCAAAAGAGATGATGTTTGCTTAAAAAATAGTACAATATTAAAACTAAAATGAATATTGCCAAAGACAAGAATACTAGAGATTCTTGAAACAAGAATAAAAATAAGATATAAGTTGATAATAATGAAAGAGGCTTCATTTTTGCTTCCATATATACTATCTAAGTAAGAACTACATGGCAATATTCTATTAGACCTCCAACACATGTACAAACTGCAAGAAAGGTGTCTAACTTACAAGATAAGTTTTTGATATGTGCACCACATAGTCAACTTATATCACAAGCTACCAATATGTACAACACCTAGCTAACTTATTAGCTAAGTTCCTAATCAATCAACTATAAATACATATAAAGTCAAATCCACATCTATAAAGCTTCACCACAAGTTATTATCAAATCTATCTATATTTACCTTCTATCTAACACTTCTTATCTAGGTAATTAAGTATATCTTTGACACAAATGCACACATCTCATATAATGTAAATATTTAACATATGAATTTTTTTTTAATAAAAGAATTATTTTTTAATCATTATATAAAAATATGCAACCTAAGTATTAAGGTGGAGGAGATGTAAGAAAAGAAATATAAAACAATAAAATATTATATTATAATTTTTTAAGTTATATAATAATATAAAGAAGTCTATGGTTAGTTTTCTTGAATATTGAAATAGATATTTAGTAATCTAAGTGTCGTACATAAGAAATCTAGTGGTGAAAGGATGCACAGGGTAAAACATATTAGAAGATAAATACTAAAAATAGAAATTTAAAAGATAATTCATATGAGATTATTTGTAATAATAATAAAAATAAATAAATAAATAAAATAAAATATTTTTAATATGTAACAAAAGAAATTAAATTTCCAAATTATGTTTCTTAATGCATATTCAATTATTTGTATCTATAAGATAGAAAGAGGCCTAAGATAAGGCATATCTTGATTGAAAGCTCAAAGGTTATAATCCAAAAAAATGCCACAATCCAAATTGGTATGCAAATTTTTTTAAGGTAGAATTTGTCTACAAAATTGAAAGAAAAAAAAAATAGACTTGATAATATGGTAATAGTGAATCTATCAAATATAAAATTAAAAAATTAATATTTTATTATTTAAAAATTTAAAAATAATAAAAATAATAAAAAATAGTTCCTATTATTCTTTAAAAGTAAGTAAGAAATCTTTAAAAGAAAAAGAAATAAAATCTATCTTCTTAAGTTTCTTGAAAAATAGATAGGACAATTGTGAGAAGATATATATTTAAGTATGTAATGCAAGTCTAAATAAGATGGAAATGACCAATAAATACATTAATTTTCTAAAATGAAAGATATTGTAATAACTACCATTATAGAGACATCGCTTACTTATAATCTTTCTTAACTTAGAACTCAAATAAATCAAAAGAATCCAACTAGTCTTGAATAATATTATAATGACTTATTTTCTTTTCTTATATTATTAAACCTATGCAATCAATATATACTTTTGTTTAGTTTTTGACAAATTTGAGATATATGTTATGATGCATAAATACTTTCAAACCTTGGTGATTTTATATATATATATATATATATATATATATAACTCTTCTTTGACCACCTCTAATGTTAATTTAAAGTATACTTTATATATTATTTTTTATTTTCTCACTTGTAGGTTACTTAAAAATATTATTATATAAGTTTTAGACTCAAGAGCCCTTTCTTTGATCTGGTATGCTACTACCTAATAATTCTTTAAAAGACTTGTCAATGCATGTCTAAGTCTCACGACATGTTATTGAATACATTGCTTTAATGTCCTTTAGAAAGTTTCCTGTTTCTTAAAAGAGTATTTATTTATTTATTATTTTTAATCTTTGATTG